AGAAACAAAAAGCAGCGACCGGCTTGGCAGCAGTCGCAAATCAAAAAGACAGAAGACACCCACACATTTCCGGTTCGCAACCCACTCTCAAAAATATGTTTACCAATTGTTGTTGTTGTTGTTGTTGTTGTTGTTGTTAAAATCAAAAAACAAGTTTGTAAACTAATTTGCAGCCGCTTGACAATATTGCCCGTAATTTAAAACTAGAAAAAAAGCAGACTAATCTAAATGCATATACTATATACAGACATATATGTGTGTATGTGTGTAGCCACAGACACAGATACAAATGTATCTGCCTGCAATTGACTGAGGCTTTAATTCAGTCAGATGTTAAGCCGTTTTTATGAATTTTATAATTGAAATATTATGAGTATATAGAGTATATATAATGCAATAATTTATAAGCAAGGTTTTTATTGAAATATATTACTAAGTGATTCATATATACAAAACTAAATAATTATACTTTAGCAAGAAGCAGAAGAGTAAGGAAAGTAAGGCAGACAAAGAAAAACGACCAAAGAGTAGACCGCCTCGACTATGCAATCCAAAACTCAATCTCAACTTAGTTTCTGCAAAAGAATTTCTGTTCCATCAGGCCATGGAGCTATCGTCGTGTTAATCTAAGCGCTATATCTTCTGTGTGGTAGGACGTCTCATTGCAGCACGTCTGCAGTCAGCTTGGCAAGGCTTGCAACATGTCATTGAGTCGTATCTTGCCGAGAAATCAGTTTGTCATGTCTCTTGACATATTAAAGGCGTTTAACGTTTCAATGGGCGGCTCAATTGTAGCAATTGTTGCTAATAATGTTTCCATTGTGATCTTTTCCTTAGACTAAAGCTGCTCCTAGTTCATTCGGAAGACATAAACCTCTCTCTGCTCACCTATGTAAGAATATCTATACATCTAACTGTAAAGATGTATATAAGGAATTCATATCATATAATCATTATAGCATTTTATGAAGGAAAAATTCGATTAATGATCACAGAAATGATTCATAACTATAAATTGCATCCATAGCTATTTTTATCTATTCAGATTCCGATTTCTATTCTATATTTTATGTTCGTTCAGCGCTGCTTATCTGCCACACAAACAGCATAATAATATGGTTATGCTCAGCTAAGGTAGGGCATAGCTGATGACTGAAAAACCAACCCAAGTTCACAGCCCACGCAACACTCAAAAACGTTGGCGCCGCCAACGCACGTGCATAATGCTAAATCGCCTGTTAATTGCGACATTTCGAAAGTCAAGACAAGGCCCAAAAAGCAGAGACACAAGACTTCAGACACACAGACTTCAGACGCAGGTATATGTAGATATGGATAGATTTATATTCCATGAAGAGTTCATAAAATCTGTCAAAATTGTATGAATGAAAGAGAAAAAACTAATAAAAACGAAACTACGATAAACTGATCAATGCGTATGCATCTTAAATAGTTTTCCAAATTTTCAATTTGCCTTTAAATGGCATTTAAATGCGAGGGCGTGGCATCTGGTTTAGATAAGCGCTGCATTGCGGAAATAGATTCGAAATGCACCAAATTAAAGTTAATGTACGATTTGTAAGCAATGGCTGACAATGCGGCTAACATGCCACACACACAGACACACACACACACACACATAACTGTGTGCTAGCCCACACGTAGCGACACATCAGTCTATGAAAAGCACCGAAAAACCCACACACAAAATGCCAGCCGCTCAACTTGTATGTCAAGAAATTGTAGATGCTGTTTGTAGCTATTCTTGTTGTTGTATTGGATGCTGCGGAGGAGTATGCTAAGTGAATGGCTCTAGCTCTCAGTGTGTGCACTGCGAGAAATTGCCGCTGCTGCGTTCATTAGCAAAAAATGAGTAAAACTAATAGGGACGACTAGAAGATGCTCTGTAGACAACATTAAAACTGCTTTTATTAAGATTTTCAGAAAAAGAGAATTATTTTTTTAAGTGTGCATGAGACGCTCTTAAAGTACTCGAGCTATGCTTAAAATAATGTTAGAAGACCATAATCGAACGAATTTTTGAAGGAGCTATGCAGCAAGCGAGATATAATATATATAGTTTATTTACTTCAAGGTGATCCACATACTAAGTTTTATTATATTAATTAATATTATTGTAAGAAACTCCTTAGGTATTCAGGTAGATGCTAGGAAGAACACACTAAAAAAATAAGTTTTCTTTATATATACATACTCGAAGAGCGTATGTATGATAAATTATTTATCTGTAGCTCTTATAGTTCCCGAGTTATGTTAAAAGATGGCAAATCTCTAGATCGATTTTCGTATATGATCTACAGCGAAACTTAATTATAATCTCTACCTCTCTCTCTCTCTCTTTTCTCATTTCCAACTAGTTTATATATATACTTTAGGACATCTATGTTAGCCTCCTACAAACAAGCATTATACGCTTTTTATACGTTTTTTAATGGCATTCAGTACACGTTAGAGCACTCAGACAAATGAAATGCAGTTGAAATGAAGCTCAGTTAAAGTGAGATGCGTTACATTCAAGTTGTTCTATATACAAGTGTATGTGTGTGTGTGTGCTGTGGCGACATACTTATCAATATGAAGTGGGCAGCGTTTGTTGTTGTTGCCAAATTTGGCAACTTGTTGTGGAGCAGCAGCAGCAGCAACCAGCAACAGCAGCAACTGGCAAACAACAATGGACCAGCAAGTAGCACAGTTGAAGACTTGTCTGCCGCTGTTGCCGCTGCAAAACGGCGGCTTATAAATGACGCCCACAGCTGGGCAAACAAAAGACTTAGGCAACGAACTTGATACCAGCTGAGCTCCAACAACCAGCCACAGAACAGAAAACAACAACACAACCACGTTGACTAAGCAAACCAAGCGGCTAATGAGCGCATGTAAAGCAGTAAAAAAAAAAGTAACAAAAAAATTATATAAACATTAATTATGTACGTTTACTTCGCTCACTCGCTCCCCTCAAAGCCTTTCTTCCTGTCTCTCCTCTCTCTCTCTCTCTCTCTCTCACTGTATCTTTTTAATTTCGGCTACGTTGTGGGCGTACGAAATGAAATAAAAATAAAAATGTTGTTTATATGTAAGAAGAAGAAGCAGACAACATGCTGTGAAAATTATGAACTATACGAAATTAGAGAAGCATAGAAAAATGCCAGCAGTAGACAGAGAGAGAGAGAGAGAGAGCGAGAGAGCTGAAAAAGAAAAGGAATAAAAGTCGTAGACGAATGAAATGTAAAGAAAACAAAACGACAAAGCGCTAATTGCGTTTAAACTATGATGTATGTGAATGTGTGTGTGTGTGAGAGTGTGCGTGTGTGCAAGGTGCGTAGGTTGAACAAACTTCTTGTCGGAGCTCGCTTGAACACTATTCAAGCTGTCAACAACAACAACAATCACATTACATTTAACTCTTTCGTCTAGCTTTTCATTTTCTTCACATGTGTGTGTGAGTGTTTGTGTGTGTTGATAATTTTTGAAAAACTCTTAACGCATTTTGAATTTGGTTTTTTCTATCTTTTTTTTGGGCAAACGACAGCAGGGAGTCGCAATAATTGCCCCCGCAACGGAAGTGCGGCTGTTCCACAAAGTTAGCAGCGTTTAATGAGCTTCCAGCAAGTCAGCGGCAGCTTCGCTACGTGACGCAAGCTCACAACATTTATAAACATAAAATCATAGAAAATTAAATACTATTTATACATATACATATTAGATGAACAGTTCAAATGTCCAAACATAAATGTGGCGGTGACAAAGGTAAAAAGCCATAAATTAAATATTTATGTGTGGTGCGGCAGCTTGAGATATCTATTAGGAGACAGCAGAGGCGTAACTCTATTGCTAGTGTATATATGGAGGTAATACTTATAGTATACACAGATATATTTTGGGATAAGACTATTGTGGGCAACAAGGGTCTATATACTGCTTTAGCTTCTTCTCAAGCTCTGATCAAAGCAGAAGAAGATTGAATTAAATTAAAAACTCAACAGCTCTAGCAAAATATGAAAAACTTTCTTTAAAACTGGAAGTACCTAAAAATGGAATTTAAAACTAATAATTTGAAGTACAATAATTGTTGATTAAAGTACAATTTCATTATAAATTTATTAACCTAACTGAACCACATTGAAGTCGCATAGGAATTATGAATTCAGGCTCAACAGCAGCAGTATTCGTCTGTCAATCTGTCCAGCACTCCCTTTAAAGCCTGCAGAAAGAGTTGTTCCTTTTACTTTCTTATTTTATAACTTTTTTAGCTTAAAACACAACAACGTCTTCAGTCCAACTCAGCTATAAAGCACATATAACTGTGTAGTCTAAACAGTTTTTTATCCAACCAAATTTGATATAGACAAATTGTGGCTAGAGATACAATATAGCGCGCATCTTGTATAAGAAAATGTGCATTGCTCGAAACATGTTCAGAACAGCGCGCCTTATGTTAAGGCAATCAATATTTTTAGCTAAAAGTCAGCAAATATTATATATATATTATAAAGATATAGATATAGATAAATATATCTTTGAAAACAGTTCAAAAGTTTTTAGCTAAATAAAATCAACTATCTAAGCTAATCAAAATATATATCGCATATGACTAATATGCCAATTATTAAGGCCTTTTCTCACTCTAATCTATGAGGTCTATAATTAGCTCTAAGTTCCACGCCTGCGGCCTAATTGATACGAAATAAGAGCATCATTAGAGCACGAATTTGCAATCAAAATCAATTTTAAATAAACGGATCTTTTAATAAAAGAAACAGAAATCATTTATATGCAGAGAGTATATATAGTATATATATATAGTCAATCTAGATCAGCTATGTGATTTCTAATTGGCTCATTTGGAATGCAGATCAGGTGGGCGTTGCTAACATATATAATAAATTTCATTTAATATAGTCAACAAATGCGGCCCAAATGTCCAGCTTTAAATAAATGAATATATATAAAAGGTAAATCAATAAATGTCTAAAGCTCACCTTAGTTTGGGCAACATTTTGAATGAGTCGAACTCGCTCGCTCTCACTTCGATTTATCAGCGTGCGAAACTTAAACAGCAGATAAGCTAAGCGATTTATCAGTCAAACAGGCGACGTTTATGCTGACTTAGATATATTTATATATATATATACATATATATTTAAGCCGACTTTGACTTGACCGAAAGTATTTTACTTCTTTTTGTGTTGTCTACCTGGCTGTCTTGTCTTGCTGCTCCAGAAGGCAAAATGCGATAAAGATCTTTACGCTGCACTTGGTTAGGGTTTTTGTCACTCGCCCTCTCTCTCTCTTTCACTTGTTCTCTCTTTCTAGGTAACAATAACAATGGGTCTGTTAGTTGACAGGGACAGGGACATGACGCGCCAGCATTTCATTCATAAAAGACGAGCGCACAAAGAGCCGGAAACGGATGCAAAGACGTTTTGTTTGCCTGACTGCCTTCAGGATACTCAACAGCTATTGCCGACGGCCATTCAAAAATTCTGCAATTTACATTTGGCCTTAGCATTTGCATTTACTTCACGTTGTTGCTTCTGTGCAAAACGCAACGAATGACTGAAGCAACGAACTTTGCACTGAACACACACGTTTATTTACATTAACACAAACACCAACAACAACATCCAAGACACACACAGTTACAGAGTTAACGCCGCAGCTGTCAGCTGAACTAAACGCGCCGACGACTAAAACTCGACTGAGCTCTGCTGCAGCTAAACAAAACCCGATTCCCCATTTCCCGAATCGGCATGACTTCGTTTTGTACTTCATTCACAAATATAGAAGTCGCTCGCTGCTTCGGCTACGGCTGCTGACTCAAACAGATTCATTGAATGACCAGTCTACGACCAGGTACGACTGTGTGTGGGCAGCAGCAGCTAGCAACAACAACAACAGATAGTATTAAGCAGAAGCAGAAGCAAATTTAAGAAGCAGCAACATTAAGCAGCAACAGCTACATCGGCCAGCAGCAACAACAGCAGCGGGAACATCAGCAACATCAAGAACAGCAGCAACTCACTTCAGCAGCAACATCAGTCAGCAGACTATATCAAAGACCAACTGCAGTCAGCAACAACTCCCGCCCGGCAAGAAGCAACAGCAACAGCATTAGCAACAGCATCAGCAACATCAAACAGCATCAGTCAACAAATATCAAGCAGCAGCTAGAGCCATCAACAGCAACAGCAGCAACAGCTAGCAGGCTATATCAAGCAGCAGTCAACGACAACACCCACCAGGCCAAGAGTAGCAGCAACAACTAAGTCAAGCGTTCAACAGCAGTAGCAGCAGCTGCAGCAGCAGCATCAGCCAACGGGCCGGCCAGTCATTCAATTGTACATATCCACATTGCGTTTGCCGATTGCCATTGCATGCCAGCCATATTTGGCGAGGCCAGCGTAACCCAAATAGTTTTAAGAGAAGAAAACTAAGGCCAAGAGCGTCTGGAAAGATGAAAAGAGGTAAATAAATCACAGCTAGCGGCAGCAAGAAAAAAGTTCTCACACTCCATTTGACCGTTGGCTATTTGATTTTCACATATTTATATATATATATATATATATATATACACACATATGTGTGATCTGTGATCGCTGCAAAACACAATTTTCTTTTTTCTTTTTGTTTTTTTTTTTTTTCTATTTATTCTACTAACTAGACTGGGAGTAGCGCACATGCACAAATATAGCGAGTGGCAAACGGGTTAAGTGCAATTGTTGTTACTGTTGTTCTTGCGCTGATTAGTAAGACGTGCGTATTATCTTCCGTGATTCGCTGCCTGTCTAGTTTGCATTGGGCTCCAGGGTTTCGCTCTTTATGGGCACCAAGGAGGGCGGTATATTGAGCGTCTTGCCTGGACAGGCAGCCTCGTACTGATGCTTTAAGCTCTCCATTTCATAGATGCAGGTGGAAAGAGCTGTGCGCAGTTCGCAAAGCAAGACCATATCCGAACGCAGCTCATTAAAGGAGGTGCATATATCCTCTGTGGGCGGTGGAGCAGGATCTGTAAATAAGTTTGGTCAGTTACAACAAATGTCTCTTACTTTGCTTCAGCAATATTTTCGTAGCTTACCAACTTTGAACTCTTGTATGGCCTGTTCGAGCGCTTTCACCTTACGCTGTCCTATATTTGCGGGCAATTTCATCTTTTGCGAACGCAGCGATACACCAGAGCCGCGTAGATCGGCAAATTTGATGCCGCTGCTGCCAATTTCGATGGCATTTACCACCGAATCTACTTTAGAGGGTCGCGGCTGATGATGCACCTTCTTTTTGTGCAGTTTCTTTTCGTATTTGCGTGTGCTTGGCGTATTGGTCGTATGCTCGTTTTGTTGATCTGCTTGAGAGATGAGTTTTTGTAGATCTTGTGTTTTGCGTTCGCGTTCCTTTTTGCGCGCCTCGATTTTCTTCATTTCGTTGATCAGCATTTGCTCCTCTTCTACCTGTTGCGTTGTGCGCTTAAAGAGCTTCTCCAGTTGTTCCTTGCGACGACGCTCATGCTCGCCATCGTATACGAATGTTTTCTTTTCAACGGACTGATTCTTGGCCTTAGCCAACAGCGATATTACTTCATAGTATCGTTCCTTAAGCTCCTCCACAGTTTTGATGCCATGTTGTTGGCGATTCCAACGATCCGCCATAACAATAAAGCGTAAATCGAATCTGCAGAGGTAAGAATGAGTATAAATTGATAGAGGATAAACTATTCCTCTCACCGTCTGGCCAAATCAAACAGATGATCCGTCTGCACTTTGCTCCAGTTTTGAATATTGTTGCGCAAGTGTGCGTTATACTCGGTCATTGTGTATGTGGGTATCTCCAATTGCTTATTGAATTTGGCAAACGGATAGTCTGTGGAGTCATCGCTAACACGCTTCCAATGATGAAAGACTGCAGCATCGTTACGAGCGGGGTTCGAGAAAGGCGCCCATTCCCATTTGCGCACCTTTTTCATGCCCAGCCGAGCTTTGTTTTGTTTATAACCCGCCCCGATGCCCAGTGCAGTGTCTGTCGGCAGCAAAGGCGGTGCATCCTTCTTGTCTGTATACAGCAGCGCGAAGACCTCGCGGTGCATTCCTTCCGGACGCCGGGAAGCATGTTTTGTACTGCAAATAAATTAACTTAGAGAAGCGAACAAAAAGCATTGCATGCTTCCAATTACCGCTCAAAATTACGCTTTTTTGTTGCAAGGAATGAGTCCCTGGTTATTTCGGGCGTATTAGCTCGCTCAATGTCCAAAATATCACGTACATCAGCCGACATCTTGCTTTTAATTTACAATTTGATTCAATATTTATTAAATTCGCTTGTTTTGTGTACCTCTGCTGGTCGGTGTTGATCAACGTTTTTTCACCAAGATATATCGATAGCTCTGTTAAGTTAACAGTTGCCAATTCGATAACTGATTATCAAGCCAGTTTTCGCTCAAATGTTCTCATGTTTGTTATCATTTATCTATTAACATATTGCTTAGATTTACGAAAAAAACAACGTGGAACTCACTCATTTTATATACGACGGCTTACGTATATCAGTGTTGGTTACAGCTTTAATCGATAATTCTTTTAGCCGGGCAAGCCAGATCTGGTAACTTAACAGTTGATTGTTAAACGTGCTCGCATTTCGCTATGTTGTTTTTCTGCCCGTCTTGCGGCAATATATTAATTATTGAAGAAGATACCTCCAGCCACAGATTCACGTGCAACACGTGCCCATTCATATCGAAAATCAAGCGCAAGATAACAACCAAAACCTATCCTCGTCTGAAGGTTAGTTGACAAAAACCGAATGATGCAATTTTGTTCTAATTTCATTTTTTTTCTAGGAAGTTGATCACGTTTTGGGCGGCGTTGCAGCTTGGGAGAACGTTGATTCCACGGATGCTGAATGCCCAGCCTGCTCACACAAGCGCGCCTATTTTATGCAAATACAAACACGATCGGCGGATGAGCCTATGACCACTTTCTACAAGTGCTGTAATCATCAGTGCGGACACAATTGGAGGGATTAGGACTAATGCGCTATTTACAAAAGCTGCTACTAAGACGACTCCAAGGGACTCGCAACAGCAGCAGCATGCATAAGCAACAGCTTGAGGTACCCCCCATTTGTTCTGCCGAATCGCTGAATGCCTTAAAGCTGGCGGAGCAATGCCTGCAACAGGGCAAGGTGATTGCGTTGCCCACAGATACAGTTTATGGTCTGGCCTGCGATGCCAACAACGAGCAGGCCATACAGCGTCTCTACGAAATCAAAGGAAGAGATGAACACAAACCGGTGGCCATTTGCGTGAACGATATTGCTGCACTGCGTCGCTATGGTCAGGCGAGCCACTTGAGTGACGAGCTGCTAACTCGGCTGCTTCCGGGGCCCCTGACCATCATCGTCGAGCGTACGGCGCATCTGAGTAATCGGTTCTTAAATCCAAGCACCAGCAAAATTGGCATACGGATACCCGACTTCCAATTCATACGGAATCTGTGTGCTAGTTGGCAAGAGCAACCCTTGGCGTTGACCAGTGCAAATCGGTCTAGTGCACCAAGCAGTCTGGAAATCAATGAATTCCATGCGCTTTGGCCACAGCTGGGCGCTATCTTTGATGCCGGTCGCATTGGACAAACGGAGGAGCGACGTCTGGCCTCTACAGTTATTGACCTGGCCAAGCCGGGATGCTATCAGATCGTGCGCTCTGGAGTGGCTCTTAAGCAGACACTATCAGTATTGCACGAATTTGGCTATGTCAATCATTTAATTTAAATAAATTCTAATTATTATTATAACAATAAATTGGGAACAAAATCGGTGATCACTAAAAGTAACGAATATATAGTACCCATTATTCCATTAGTCACACTAATGCTTGTGCTAGAAATCCAGCTATTTGTTAGTTCGAATTCACAGTAAGCACATAAAAAGTGTGACCAAGTACTACTTTGTGTTAAATATAATGGTATCTACTTTAATAGTCATTTAGCATTAAAAATTTTGAAACAATTTTTTCGCGTAACAGAATGATACCAATTGAACACAAAACCGATAGTAAAATATATATATATGTACAAACAGTGTATGTATGTATGTGACTACTTAGTGGCTACCAACAGCTTTGTCTTTTTCAGTCTTTGTGCCTAGTTGTAGTAGTTGGCTTTGGCCACCTGTACGGGTCGCCTTCGTCGGGGCAACTCATTCTTCAATATCCTCCAACGTTCCGGTGGCCAAACGATAGCTACAGCCCGGGCGGACATCAGACCTAATGCAACTGGACCGAAAGTGTTGCTATCCAAAGAGTAGCCCGTGTGATCACCTTCAACCCAGCAATGGCCATCGGGTACACGAACAATTTCATGTTTGTAACCAAGAGTGGATACGACATCTCCTTGCATGCCCACAACGCGTTTGATTATCTTTTGTCCAGGATCCTTGGGTGATATTAGGGAGATTATATCGCCACGTTCCACTACACTGTTGTGGATACCCCAGCGCAAAAGGAATACATAATCGCGTTCTTCTGCCACCGGATTAAGAGCGGGTTGCATAGAAGTGCCTACACGTTAAAAGCCTCAATTAAACAGTCATTCTTATCGGGATTTTCAGTGCAGACTTACCATCAACTCTAGCCACATATCCAACACAATCGAGGAACGTGATGCCTAGTGGCAAGCCATAGAGTAGGGATTTACCAAAGCGACGAAATGCCATGACGGCATGGTTTGGGGTTTAGTTCTGGGTAGCCTTTTTGAAGGTTTGCGTTTTTATATGTAAAGTGAAAAAAGTCGCACCGCTAGCACATGTAAGTATGTATGTACATACATATATATGAGTTTAGGTTGCGTCTTTCAAATGAATACATAACAATAATATACATACGTATACAGCTGTTTCCTTACAATTTACAACATTCACAAGTATACGTTGACATTCACTTTGATTTTTTTCAAACAGGGTGTCTGATTTTGTCGTATACAAATGTTTATTAAAATTTAATTTGAGTTTGAGGGTGTTACAAATCAAATTCCAGCTATTGTACTATGGTTACAGGTGTTTCTTTTTGATTTTCATTTTCGAACTGATACTGGAATGTGATTAGATCTAATGTTACTCCACTGGCTGAACTCAACAGCCCTCCAGTTCGCTTGGAATAGGTATATCGTTTTGAATAGCAAATTGTAGGAGAGCTTTATATTTGTTTTTCCAGTTGGCAACATCCAGGCGTATCTGTTCATTGTCTTCGTGCATCTGCTCCAGTTCCGTCCATTCATATGATTTTTTCGTTTCCAATTCGTCCTTTTGTTCTATGCGCTTAATTCGACAACTAGCCGCATAGCCCCGATTCTTCAGAGTGCGACGTCGTTGTTTCATGCGCACAATCTCCTCCCGATTGAGTCCACGCATCTTTAACGTTCGGTTCAGATCACGCACCGAGATCGTCACCAGCTCATCATCAGTTATATCTGGTATTGGACATGGCGAAAGTGGAGCCTGTCATAAGCAATGGAAGTTTATTATAGCTGAAAAGCAACGCAACTAAGGTTAAATCATTTGTGCACTTACCAAAGATGACTTTCTCTCACGTTTTGCATCCATAGTCAATGTTTTTAATCCCCTGCAGTTAATAGTTTTTAATATTTCCGTAATTTGTATATGTTTTTGCGTATTACCATTCGCAGTAAAAGCAGTAATCAGAAACAGTGTGCCCAACAGCAACAAACTCTAAAAAACTCAAGCTGCAAAAAAAATACCAAAGAGCGCACTATCCTTTTAAGAATAGTTTTGATAACAAGTGCTGGAAAGTTAGTGAGGACGAAACGGAAGGAGGAAGAATTTAACATCAGTTGCAGAAGTGAAATCTGCTGAAAAATTCTCCATTTTTTTTTTCAATTTATTGCATCAGTATGAAACCGGCAGTAATTATAAATAATGTACCAACGCCAATCTGCGTACAAACGCCGCTTGCAGTCGCAACGCCCGATGGCGGGCTGCTGTACACCGGCTTTAAAAGCATCAATTATATACCGGCTGTGGATGCGAAGGATCGAGAAGTGAAAACCATGTCCACGCGCATCACCATAAGTGGACTTGATGTCAGCCCTCTCTGGGGTAAACAAAACAAGTCAGAAATATTATCAAATGCTCATGGCAAACAATTTGCCATTGTTGCCGAGGATTGGAGCGTGTTCGTCTGGGATTGTGAACTAGGCGTGGCTATCAGCGGGCATAAGGCACATCAGCATCAGCATGAGGCACGCGATGTACGCATGTATCCACAGTCGAATGTGCTAATGAGCTATATATGCAATGGCAACATATTATCGGTGGATGCCAACAGTTTGGTCATCTACTGCGTCGCTTCCAACAGCTACTTCCGACGTCCCACCTTCTTATCGCAACGTAATCATAATTTAAGCGTGCTCCGCTGTTCGCCATACAATGAGCATCTGTTTGCTGTGGGCACTACAGCTGGTTCAACTTTAATCTGTAATTTAAATGAAATGACCATAGTGCATAAGTTAAATGGACATGGCCGGAATGCCAGCATTTGTGGCCTGGCCTGGCGGGAAATGTCCCTGCAACCAGAGCAGGAGCTGGAGCATGATCAAGAAGAAGCGGAAGCAGAGCCTGAGCAGTGGCGCAGTGCCAAGGCGCCGCTTCTGAAGTCAAAAGCAGCTGAGGCAGATGATCTGTTCGATATATACAACTACGACCATTTGGAATCGGAGTTCGGGGCTCCGGCTAGCGTGCGTCCACGTTTGACAAGCAAATCCTCAGATGATTGTGACAATTTTGTCGGTCTCGAGAAGCCCGCCAACAATGTGGGCCTCGATTTCATGGAGGCCTGTCAGACTATGAAAGCGGAACTAGCAGCTCATCGCCAGAGTCCCAAAGATCAGCCTCAAGTGGAGGTTACACTGCAGGATTGCCAGCAAACAGGAACAACTGGTCCTCGCAGCGATAGCAGCCACAATTCAGAAAAGGATCAGCAACTTATTCACAGCGCTAGCGAAGGCAGCCTGGAGGTTATACAGTTTAGCTCGTCTAGCGATGACGCTGTCATAGTCGACGGCGAAGCTTCCAAGCCCAAGCGTGAGGTGCTGCATCACATTTACCATCAAGCCGAGGTGCACGATGCACCCGAATCCCCACAGCTACAGCAGCTGCAAACCAACTCCCAACCACTGGCCAAGCAAGCCAGCATAGATACGTTGAGCTACTGCTCCACCGAGCTGCTGCCAGCTCGTCCAGACATTGTCTTGGCTACCATTAATGACAACGATGTTATTATGATTTGGAATACGCAAACGGGTGAATATTGCGCCAAAAACTATAGCAAGACAAATATCTCAGGTGAGTGAGCAGGAGAATAGCTATCTCTGAGATATATAGCACATGATCTTCTCCTTGCAGCCAAATCTATGCAGCTGCACTGGCTCAACGATCACACAATTGTCTCCCTTAGCCGCCATCGATTGCATTTCTGGGCTGTAAGCTATGAAGCCAAATCACGTCGCTACAACATCATCAGAGATCAACTGCACAAGTGCTCCGAGCAGGATATTCTCTCATGCGTGGCCAGCGCCGCATATCCGCAAATCTGGTTAAATATGCGCAACCGTCGTGTGGTTCTATTGAATCCTCTTAATGGACAAGTAAGCGCTGTCTTTAGCTGTCTAGCTTACGGCGTACGCGCCATGGCCGAATGCCCCAATGATATGAATAAGTGAGTCCGTTAAATATTGTAGTATTACTGTAGGCCAAGTCAACTCATTTCTCCGTTAACTTGCTAGAATTGCTTTGGGCTGCTCGGACAAACGCATTGCACTATTCGACATATCCAAATTGACCGAGCGCTGCATACCCATAAAGAGCGTGCATGTGAACAGCGCCGTCTACTCCTTGTCTTGGAGTCCTGATTGCCTGCAGCTAGCCTATGGCACCTTCGATGGCATTGTGCGTAAAATTCCACGAACTATTTATTTACATATATAGAACTACATTAAACATAAATTTCATGCAGGTGGGCATACTGGATGTGGAGCGCATGCGAGTAGAGACAACGTTTCGTCCCGTGCAGAAGAAGGAGATCTATTCGTTGATGTGGCAGAATAACATGATTTACTTCATAGTGAATCGTGTGGTGGGCATCTACGCGGCGCGACAACCAAATGCAGGTGAATGCTTAACGCAAATGATGGCGTACATTGTATGTTTGATTCTGTGCATTGCGTTTGCCATAGGTGATCTTTGATTGGGCATCTCGCGTCTGTCTTTTGCGTATCTCGGCCAGATGGATTGTCTCTCGATGATAATCCCAGGCATTCCAAGTCACGTTTATCCAATTGGCCGGTGCCAAGTCATTGGTAATCACCATTTCTGTCTGTCCTCTGAAATTCTTTGTCTTCGGACGCTCTACGGGCGCTGGCAGCATCTCTTTGGCTATCAGAATATGGTCCAATTTGAACAGTAAGGCCAAGTTGGCATTGTTGAAGATGGACTGTCTTAAAGCGGTTATGAAACGTTCGAACCAGATTTCACCTATGCGAGCATAAGTCTCGTCTTGAAAACCAAACTTAATGTCGAGATTCATGCAGAGCTTGCGCAGCACCTTGGCTGGCAGAAGTAGCCCATTTGTCAAGGCCATCGCGAGAGCGCAAAACTCTTTGATATCCGCCTGAGCGAGGCTGCAAAAGTTGCCGTCAGTTTGATACTGCTTCAAACTTTCCATGAGCTGATCGAATGTGCGTTCGCGCATTGCAGGTTGATGTTTCCCCAGCTCCTGAATTTCCAAAATCGTTTCCTTCGCGCGGTCCACCATCTGAGTAGGGACCTGGGCTTCGAGACGCTCACGCAGCTTGTTCAACTCGACAATGTGATTGAAATATTGGTTGAGATTCGCCCAGACCTTGGACAGGTAGACGAAGTGTGGCTGCAATGGAACGATAAGTATTTCAAGGATCTACCACAGATCTCTCGCTACTACTTACAAATACCAGCTCCGATTCAATAGAGCTGCGCATGCACAGTGTTGCGTTGATCTTGGCCACCACACATTCGTAGCGACCCGTCTCCACGCTCACCAAATACGCCGTATGCTCATAGCTGGTCTGCAGCGCGACCAAGCATCGCATCAGCATATTAAACGTGATTGTGAATTGATTGACGCGCTCCATCTGAGCCAGCGACATGCGGTAGTAGAGCACCGCGTTCTTGCAATCGAACTGCAACTGGTCGCTAATCGTAGTCTGGCACTTGGTGCTCAGCTCCTTGAGATATTCCAGCGCTGTCTCAAAGGCGGCACTTGTATTGCTTTGGGCCATATGCAAATCTCCAATTACTAAAGAGATGATGGAGTAGATCAGATGCATGGAATTAATGTGGCTCAGAGCTCTGTTTCTACTCACTATTTCGAACATTTTCGCGATCGCCGTCGGGTCCGTCGTTGTTGTAGATGACAATGCCAGCCACAGTGTCAGCCAAACGTTGCAAATACTCTTTCCTGTGATACTTCTTCTTGAGCACATAGTTCTGTAGGTCGCTGCGCCCGATGACGCTATTCAATGCCATGGCGGCCAGCTTGAGGAGCACATGGTTTTTGGGACAGCCTAGATGATTGGTGGCCACTATGAAGACTTGCATTTTGGAAAATAATTGATCCAGCTGCACTTTGCTGCAAGTCTCTGGATACTGCAGAATATCATCAATGAGCAGCTTGAGCTGATTCTGATAGTCATTCTCGTATTTCTCGCGCACGTAAGACAACTGGATGCCGTGGCCTGTCTTCATGATCCAGGACAAACGCAGATTGGCCATGGTTGTATTGGTGTTGTCCAAATAGCCGTTGATAATGTTGTCGACGAACGTCTTGATGTGGCATGAGCTTGGCTTGCTTAAATCTGTTTTCAATAGCCCAAGGCGCATGTCCCGAACGAGCAGATGCACCACAAAATCTATAAATTTCCTATCCACTTCGACGTCGCGCCCCTCTAGCTGCGACACAATGCTCTGGCAAATATCATCGAGCTTTTCCTGGTGAGGATGCGACATGTTGCAATTGTTTGTTAGTTAATCTACTGCAACTATTAATTTATTAACTTTTGTGCGCGCATTAGAACGTAAATATGAAATGTGACTTGATTTCTCTGCCTTGTTTTTGTTATTTAAACAAGGAAACAAGTTGTCCCTGGCAACAACTTTGATCGATAATTTAATCACAAACTAAACTGAGCTTGTGGCATCAACTGTAGTTGCAAAGGTCTTGCCGAATCTCCTTCAAGCGCCCTCTCTAGCCCTACCCTCTTCCACAGTTTGGCTGAATCAACTCTCTCTCTCTCTCTGACAAAAATCTTATTGAATTTACATGAATCTCCCTCGCTCTCTTTCCATTTTACAGAGGCCATACTGCTGCGCTATATCGAGCGTCCCAGTTATTTGAATGTGCGTGGACCTTTGCTACTGGTTGGCACCGATAATGGTAGTCTTAAACTATACCCTAGCTTACCTGACTGGGCGGTGGGTCAGTTGCCTTGGTCAGTCCTCTTAGCGCGCTATGTCACAGATATAGCCTTCAGTCCGGTTGCGACCAATGTGTTTGCTGTGGTGGGTCACGATCGTTTGATTCATGTGCTGGAGTTGCACCCGCTCACGCGTGACTATACCAAGCTGCACAAATTTATGGACACCGATCCGATGGCATCCATTACATCGGTCAAGTGGAGCAATTTGCATGCACATTTGTTGCTCAGCTTTCATATTGAGGGCAAGGTTTGCATGTGGAGCACCAAGGAGCCGGAGCAGCCACCGCTAATCATCAAATACGAATGCCCCATGTGGTGTGGCCTCTTTCTGCCCTCCGATGAGCTAATTATTATGTGCAGTGGCAAGACACTTTCACTCGAGCTGGTGAGCATCAAAGAGGCTCTGGCTAACAATGAAAAACAGATACGCTCCAAGTTGGATCCGCTGGGCAAGCTGCGTTGGGCTTACAAATCCAATACACAATCCAATCAACCCGCTTTAACCGCTGCCCAAAAGAAGCGTCAACGACGCGAAAAGCGTAGAGCCAATCAAACAGCTGCATGCAATGAGCAGGCAGTCGAGCTGGAACAGGAACAGGAACAGCAGCAGCAGCAGCAGCCTCCAATTGAATCCATGATGGGAGCTCTAAGTCTGCAAACCAAAGGCACAAACACAAATGCTGTCGAGTGCAAGAAATGCAAACAGCTGGAAACTCAAACTTTGCCAAATAGTTTTCTGTCTGTAAGTAGTTTGATCATTGATCTGTAATATTTTACTCATGCTCTTCTTTACCCTTCACAGCATAGCCGAACCTGCCTGTGCCTCGCTCAGAAGGAGCTTAACAAGAACGCTCTAGAGAAGCTGGCCATAGTGCTCACAGAGGATGCAGCCAAGATAGACAAAGCGGTGCTCATGTCAAAGCTGTTCAGCACCAAAGTTATGGCCAAGGAGCTAATTGCTACAGAGCGTTAGTTAAATTGAACCTTATCCATATATATTTATATCTAATGCTGACTCTCATCCATTTCAGTTAACAATCTGAAGCAGTCCAACAACAAGGATATTGCTCCACTTAATCTGGCTGTTACGACATTTAAATTACGCGATGAACTGGAGCAACATATTGCGAACAAAACGTTAAGCGAGTGGCATGTATCCTTGGCGCCCGCTGTGTCCTATGTGTAAGTCGGTCATGGCCTTTGCTTCTTTCCCATTCATCTAATGCTAATTCTCAACTGCAGCTTCTGGCAGATTTGCTGCAAGGCCTATGCCCAGCAAATGGAGGAGCAGGGTTACATTTTGCATGCTGCGACATATATGCTGGCTGTTGATATGCAAACAGAGGCCATTGAAATGCTGCTGAAGCATGAGTATTTCAAGGAGGCATTGATAAATGCGCGCATCCATCTGGCCGCAACAGATCCCATCATTAAGATAATTATAAACAAATGGCTGGAACAGCTGGAGAAGACAGGCAACTATGCCGCAGCGGCACTTATGTAAGCTTATAGATTGATCATTTGGGCTAAGTTCAGCTTTAATCCTTTACTGCTTTCTGCTTGCAGCTGCGTCTTGGACAATGAAATGCTGCGTGGCTATTTGTTCTTGCGCAAATTCCGCAATTGCACCGCTGAAATAGCCGATCTAATGGAGCAGATCAAACGCATCGGCCAGCTGCCGCCCATGTTCGATGAGGACCCAACGGGCAAAGCGGAGCCAGTCGAGGATGCTGAGGAGGCAGGCTGAGCTCACATTTAGCCTAATACAAACACCTACCATCAACTGTTTATTGAAGACATGGCTCATATTTCTTCAAGCTTTTATTAACCAAACTAATTGATCAATCAATTATTTTTACCAAAAATGTTTTCCAAATGGAAACCCCAAACATGAATTTATACGAATCACAATTCAAAATGTCCAAGGCAAACAAACACACAGAAAAACGCAGTTATAAAAAGAAATATTTGAAAAGAAATGCGCCTCTTTTATTTTTTAATTAGAACAACTTCTGGGCCCTTGGTCCAAAGACTCTCTTATGGACAGCTCGGCCCATTTGTTTGCCTTCCCGTTAGCTAGCCCAAAAGACAAAAAAGCCAGCAACAAAAGGAAAAAAAAATCTTAACGAGTATTGTTTTGGTTTGTCTCGACAATCAAATTATGCAAATGCAGCGGCAGCTAGAAATTAAGTTTTTTCTTAATTGTTTGAAACGAAGGTGCGCAGCGGCAGCAGCGACGTCAACGGCGAAGCGGGCAGCGACAAAATGCGTGCGAACAGAGGGAAGAGACAATATGCAATATAATAGCAGCGTGCTCGACTAGAGCATACCCTGGAATGAACGAAGTTCTCTATAAATTCACTGAGTTCTTAATGATTGCTTATACATGGTATACCCAATTTGCTTGTTCATTTAATGGGTAACAAACAGCATCTACTACATATATAAGAAAAACATATTTGTATAAAAATAATCTTCCTAACAACACTTCACTTCAATATACCCCATTTGGCGCACACTTCAGATGGGTATCAAAGATGATTTCAATAAGCGAACAGCTGACGCCGGCGATGACATCGACGCCGACGTCGTAGCTGCAGTCAGCGACGCTAGCAGAGCCGCAACCAAACGGGCAAAGACTCAAGCTACGATTCAGTTGTGGGGCAGCCGCTGAACTCAGCTGACGCGTCGATTGCTTTTTGTATGAGACGTCGTAGAAGAGGAAGACGAGAAATCGCGTTCGTTGCCTAAGTCATTTCGATTTTCACTTTTAACTGTTTCGAAGAGCGCGCGCGCGCGCGTTGTGCTTAAACCGTTACCGTTAGACGCAGCACGTTACGATTATCTGCTAGTGAGTGTGTAAGTGTGTGTATGTATGTGTGTGTATATATTTGCATGACCACGCATGTGGCGCGCTCTGTTCTCACGTCTATTTGGGGACGTGTTGTCCGCTGAACAATTAAAACGCAATTAAATTGTAATTTTTTTCGTTTTCTGCTCAAGTGCATTTCGCTTTTGCTCAAGTGTCGCGCTTAATAGAAGTAAATTAAAAAGCGAAATAAAAAGAATTACATGAGGAAACACGTTTTTTACAGTCTTAATTGGGCTGCGCTGCTTGTAAAAGTGTTAGAACAAGTGCTCGGGCTTTTCTTACTTAAGCACTTTTCCGCTGCTGTTCGCTGTCTTTCTCCTGGCACACATATGTCACAGCCGTAGTCATCTTGGTAGCTGTTGCTTGCCCATTTGCATGTGACAGCCAGCAACAGACAACAACTGCGACGACGACTTCTCCCTCAGCATGACTCAACGTTCAACAATTTTTTGTGTATATGTCGCTTATCGTTGTTGTTGTTGCTGGTGTTATGATATCCACTGCAAATGACTAAACAGGGTATATTGTTCATACAAAAAAAGCGGGACAGTAAAATACTAAGTATATAGACATATTTCAGATTGGAATGAGTATTATTTCTGGCATATTTATGAAGCTTAAAGTATTTTATGAAGGCTTTGAAACGAGAATTTCCTGACTTGTATGCTGTATGCTTAGTAGACTTGCTCTTTGAAGACGGCAAAAAATAAAAAATATATATTCATCTATCCATAAACTTAAGTTTATCAACTTTAATGAATATATTTATCACAAGTTTCTCAATAACTTTGAAAATCATTTTCACAAAATAAACATAACTCGAAAACTTTAAGAGCGAGGGACAACAAATTTTGTATGCGGGTGCGCTTAAAGCATGTTTAGCTATTAAACACATTTGAACCTCTTGGTTTCCTGACGCATAAATAGCATTTGACACTTTTTAAGTCATAGCTCGAGAACTATAAGAGCTAGCAACATCAAATTTGATATGCGAATGCTCTCAAAGCATATTTATAATATGAAATATATTTTTTATTGGTGCAACTTATCTAACTGTTAAATTATTGCACACCCAAGCCAAACCCAACTCGAGAACTTTTACAACGGAACCATCAAATTTGCAATACAGATTGTTCTAAGCCATTCAAACATATAGAAAATATCACAATAGGATATTAACTTATTGTCTAATGAAGCCTTTTCTTATTCTAGCTCGAGAGCTTGAAGAGCTTCAGTTATCAAATTTTGTAGATTATAACTTTTTAGGTATACGAAGATATAGAATATCTTCATTTTTGGATACCCACTATTAAACCAAAACTCAGGAACTTTAAGAGCTAAAGACATTTCACAACTTCATAGTACTTAACTTTTAGCATATCTCTTAGGCAAGGAATTGGTCCAGGGCATCTGCCAGTCGCTCACTCTACCCACGAGTCGCTTTGTACTTTTTTGCGTAGTTTCTGGGAGTGTATCTTAGGCCCGGCCCGGGCTGTGGCGCATGTGAAATCATTTCTTGCTTGAACGATAATTTCTACAATTCGTCTTTCTTCTGCGCTTTTCTTTACACACAAAACAGAGAGAGACTCGCACACATACGATATCAGTTTTTGTGGCTGTTGCAACTAACGACGGATTAAACTGCAATCAAGTGAAAGGTAAGCCCATCAAAACGAAATCAAATCGAACAGACAAAAAACATGAATGCATATATAAATTTATTTATATATATCTATACACGTATATGGAAACACATATATTTTTATTACATTTTGAAACGCATTAACGCACTAACTGGAATTCCTATTTATTGCTTTTGCTTTTTCCTTTCAACATAGTTCAGGATTTGCATAATAGTTTAAGCACGCCGTATTGCATTGTTGCTCATTCAGCCATATGCAGCACACTCATGCCATTTCATATTGTGATTATTTATGGTTTATTATTGTTTATTGTTTGTTGTTGTTGTTGTTGTTGCGGATGCTATTGAACTCGCCTTTGCAGTCACACGCAAGAGCCGCACAACTGCAACGCTTTACACTCGCGCATACATATAACAATCATAGCATCATGAGCAACTTAAATATTTAATTCCATATGGAAGAGTACAGCAATAGCTAGAGAGCGAGACAGCATATATACATATATATAACACAATGCAAATTGTTGTTTCGAAATGTGTTTTTTTTCACAGCAAATTATGCGGAATCTACATAAGTTTTGTAATGCCAAAAAACCACGCTGTGCGCTGTTACAGATGCCAACTCCCAGACACTCGCACAGAGAGACTATAAAAGTGGGCGTTCGAGGCGTGACAGTCAAGGGCGCGCTGTCTTTCAATTTGTATTGTGGCTCAAGGGGCCATTACATTCCGAATGCAGTGCTCGATAGGCGAATGTTTTTTTTTTTTTTTCAACTATTGCAGCTGACACCAACAGCAACAGCAACAACAAAAACGCTTTCTAATCTGTCAATATTTACGACATATGCCTGAACAGTCAATTAAAGCTACTTAGTTTTTTTTTTTAATTTTTTTATGGATTATATGCATTTCCGATACACGAGATCTGTTCAAAAAGTACCGCAAATTTATAATAAAAATATTTGTTCTCATCAATATCAATATCTATTTTTCCCCAATCAGAGATTAAATACTAGTCAAAGTTCACTTCAAAATATTATTAACAAGAAATTCATCTAGAAATATATCACAAAATCTCGTGTAGGTTCGTCATCCTTCGATGCTCGTCCATCAGAATACAGAATACACGCTACTTTTTGAACACACCTTGTGTAAGCCTCTATTATATTTAAATCGATTTCGCTCTGTTACATCACTGAGCAGGCATGCACGACTTGCCTTTCAACTAGAAGCAAAAACTATTTAAACTTAACAATGAATTTAATTGTTTTTCCAAAGATTCCCCTTTGAAGATCGGCACAAATTTTAGCATAGCTTAACTAATTGAACTACTCTAGAATAAGAGTCTATATATATGCATAAATATGGCTAAAATGCCACATATATATTCATTTCTATATACATATCATACATATAGCTGATCTACTTAAGAGACGTTTTCTACTTCTCATATTCATGAATTTGTTGATGAGTGCAAATCAACAATGAGACAAGTTATAAGCGGCCAAGAGGTGAGCAGGTCTGGCTTGTCTCGACAGCTATTTCAAGAAGCCTTTCGTTCTGTGGTCCGCTTACTTTGCTGTACGCTTCTGGTTTCTAATATCCTTGCGTTGAAAACGGTACCAAGGGGAGTTTAATTAGCGTTTATAGATTTATTTTATATATGACAACAATATTCCCAAAAACACAGCCTTAAACCAAAGCAAGCCTAGTCGAAGCTTATAGAGAAAAATATTTTATCTACCTATCTTTTTTTGGTAGACAGCTTAAATATATCGTTTTTTCATATATAAAAAATATTCCCAAGACTTGTCATATTTTTGGCACTCAACTCAAAGAATAATAATAATAATAATAATAATAACAATAATAATAATAATTATAATAATAATAATAAAATTAATAATAATAATAATAAAAATAATAATAATAATAAATATAGTTTTAGAAAAAAAAAAGACAAAAGCTTCTAGAACTCAAGCTGAAGGCACAGAATAAATATTTAGAGTTGATCTCAAGTTTTTCTCTTTTAGATATTTTAATTTTGCGTATCATATGAATTCTAATCTGCACCTTTATAACATGGTATGAATCATTGACAGATCCTGCACTAATATTTCAAGCATATCATAGTTAATTTCATTCAAAAAGAAAACATTCACAATATTGTTATCATGTTAATATCATATCATGTCAAATTATATTATATAAAATAATGTCTGCAACTCTTTAAAATTCTAGTTGAAATAAAGAGCACAAAAATTAACAAAAAAAATATTTTCTAGCTGCTATTATGATCAAAAATATATAGAAAATATAGCTGCTCTTATCAATAAAATGTAATGATTAGATAGTTTACCAGAAGATTACACTAAGCAATCTATAATGTACTCTAGCAATCATCAGATAAGTCATAGGCCCATTTCTTTTTAACTAAAATCATCAGAGCTCCAACTCTAAAATCAATATAAGAAAGCTCCTAAATAAATTTCTTATAGTATATCTATTTATCAATGCAATGCCTCGCAGCGCTTTCCAAGTGAATTATCGTTGGCTCATTTGAGCGCTGATATATCAGAGATATATATATGCATATAAGCAACACTAACTTATCACTCAAAAGTCAAACAGAAAGATTTATTACACAACTCTCGGCAGTTTGGCGTAATTGAACGCTTAGAGCAATTGAGGTGCGGCTAGATAAGCGCAACGCGCAGCGTGCAGCTTCCGTCCAGTTGTGCCCGGAGCTCGCCTATTTCACTTAACACATTTTGGAGGTAATACGCAAAGCGAGATAACAATTTTTCTGCTGCTCCGCTGGCTGGCTAATAATAAACAAACCCGTTTTACTCAACGCATTGCCCGAAAAAAACAAACCGGACGAGCCGAAAAGAATTTGCTCGCAATGTTTGCATAGCCAACGAGAATTAAAGAAATGAGGAGAGGAAGACGAGCTGCTGGTCAACTGAGCAACGTTTGCAGTTATGTTGAACGAAGAAAGCGGTTGTTCGCGCAGAATTCTCAATGGGCCACGTCGGGGCGGTGACCCAAGCGCTTAAGGCGCGCGCATATCCGGCCCATTGGCATTGGGCCGACGCTTGTCACCCACGCAACGCGAAGACGATTATGCTTATGATTGGGTTGATGGCACACCTGTTGACGGCATTGAATGAGACTCCAATTCTGATGACGACGCAATTTTGTTTGACTATTAAAGGCAGATTACCAAATGACTGACTAAGCCGTTAACTGACGTTGGCGTTCGCTAACACGATTAATTGACTAGCTGTCTGCGTGTGTGTGTGACAGGTGTGTGCATGTGTGTGTGTGTGTGTGTGAGTGCTCGTCTGGCTGTCTGAGCATTTAGCGCTTAGCTATAATTCATGACATAAGTAGTCAATTATTTGTGCACAAATTTGCGTGCTGCTAAACAAAAGACTTAGGCAGCGAACTTGTTAGAATTATTAAGACTTGGGCAACGAACTTGCAAGCCAATATTGTCTTATCAAAAGCGAAGTTCAGTATGCTTTCGAGGTGTTAGAGCAACGCACTTCGAGTAAACAAAGACACAGGCAACGAACTTGTTTGTAAGACTTAAGCAACAAACTTGCGAACAGATTTGGCCTATGATAATATAAAAACATGGCGTACTTATTTGTTCGCAACTAGGTCAATAGATTTAGGAATCACACCTTGAAGAACTTAAAGACTTAGGCAACGAACTTGTTAGAAATAAAGACTTAGGCAACGAACTTGCACTTGTTCAATAGGTGAAAAATAAATGTCCAAGAGGTAAACAAATTCGATTATATATTTTTGATCTGCTATAGCAAAATGACTTCCGCAACAAACTTGAAGAGCAAAAGACCTAGGCAACGAACTTCAAGGAAGCAATGACTTAGGTCATAACTATTCAAGCAAACATTGCTTAGACTAAAGTGAAAAGAGCTGCTCAATCAGCACTAACACAACTAGCTCGAAAGACTTAGGCAACAAACTACTAAGAACGAAAGACTTAGGCAACGAACTTGCAAACAAATATTGTTTCAAGAAAAAGTGAAAATCGTTGACTCGAATCAGAATGTGAATCTCTAGTGGCATGCCGTTAGCTGGCCGCAAAACAAGTTCGTTGCCTAAGTCTTTTGTTAAGCATACACACATCTCTAGCCACACTCTCGCACAATCACTTACACATTAACACTCATCTGCATTTCCATTTCAGGGGCAGCTTAACAGAAAAAGAAAAAGAAAAAGAAATAAAAAAAAAACAAAAATCAAAAAACCATGACAAGCCTCAATTAGGCCGCCTAACGCTTTCGCATTCGCAGCGCCACGAAACTCATCATTGAAACATACAAGAAAGCATCCCAAGTAGAACTAGAACTAGCTTGTCATCGCCTCGCACCACTGACCCAACAGCCAAGACCAAGGCCGACCGAAATCAAAGCTTATTTTCTTTTTTGGCCAACAACAAACAACGAAACAACGCGATCATGAATTATCAGAAGGCCAGTGAAACGCATTCGCCGTCCCCGTTCAAGAAGCCGAAACGGCCCGCTGGCAGCAAAAACAACAGCAACAACAGCAACAGCAACAAGAAGAACAGCAGCATCAAAGGCAACGGGAACGGGAACGGCATACAAAACTTTTGGAACGAACGCATCATGGAGCGCTTTATAAAGGCGAATCTATTCATTATCTGCTGCGTGGCAGCAGGCCTGTTGCTGGTAAGTAAGCCAATTCGTGATTTACACTTATACACACTTAATATGCTCGTTCAGCAAGCCAAGAAAATAAGGGGTATATTAGCTTTCGGTGTTTGCTGCTGCAGAACTGCCATGGAAGAAGCATAGCGACCAGAGATATCAAATGATTGAAGCTAGCGGTCCGATAGAGATATAAAGTCGGGTATATGCAGACACTATGTATACCCTGTAGTCCTGATTGTGGCATGTCGTAAGACGGCATATATCTTAACTGAAATTTTGATCTATCCTAAGTTCTTTCAACTTGAACAAGTATTGGGCAGTCGTTAGCAGCTTCTTGTCAGTTTTTTTTTTGTAAACTGTTGTGGGTACCGTTATCAACTGGCCACAATATGTTTTTTTTTTCGTTATTATTTGCGCCATTAAGTGAAAATGAAATGAAATCGTTTCAACTTTTTTGCTACTATTTATGATAGAGAGACAAACAGACAGAGAGACGAACAGACGAACAGGCAGACAGACAGTTAGACAAGACTCATTAATTGATTGATAGATGAGTGCGGCGCAAATGTGTCTCCGGCTTTTCAAGTGGCCACAGCATCACACCACAGCTGCTGCTTCATCTGCAACTCCAGTTTATATAGAGATTTCCGTTTTGCTTTTTTCTTTCCATTCAATTTTTTGATTTATGTTTGCGCTTTTTTCTTGCATCAATTTCACCTGCTGCACAGATTGTCTACCTGGGCGCTTTTTCGTGTGAGGTCTCTTGGCTGCTGGAGGCGCATGGCGAGCTGCCCTTTGCCGCCTATACGCTATGCACACTGTACTTTGTGATGTTTGTGGCCACGACCATTCTCATTCATGGCCTCGTGAGTGGGCTCTGCTGGCCTCTATTTGCCTGGTCGGCTGTCATTGGCTTGCTGTCCATACCGGAACTGGTGCTAGTGATGCTAATGACCACACAGCATTGGGTGAGTAATGGAGGCAGACAGAGAGACTGAGTGAGAGCGCGTCTGAAGCAGTGTCTAATTTTGGTAACTGGCGATTCACAGGGTCTGCAGTCGGTGCATGGCTTAACGGAGCTAACCTCCTACTTGATAAGGCTCATCATCAACTGCCTGGCTTTGATCTGCGTCATTCCCACCGGCATTAAGTGGCGTCGCGAGACGCAGGTGCTGAATCAGCTGCAAGGTCTAGCGACTCGTCTCTCGCTGCAAACCCCAGCGCCCAGTGTGCCCATGACCAAGGCGGACTCGAGGCGTTCCAGCCAGCGTCTGAGCGGCTTCGAGAATGCGGGCTATCAGCTGTGCGATGAGACGAAGTTGCCCTTGGGCAACGGAGCGGGATCTAATCAGCTGTTCGGCTCGCAAAACGAGTTCAATGCCAGCATGTTTGCACCTCAGCAATACGTGCCTGGCCAGAGGAGCAGCTCGAATCCGGGACATCGTGCGCAATCGCTGATGGACTTGCGCTGCACGCTGCCCGGCATGTACAATCCGCGTCATGTGCTGGACACGGAGGACAAGAATGCCAAGTACTTCAATATAACCATAGATGATCTGAAGCACAATTTGCAGGATTCGCATCGTCCGTCGCCGCCTTCGCTGATTGGCTCCGCCAGCAATGATCCCATCTACTGTTCCATAGAGCCCAAGCAGCTGACGCCGCCACCTGCTTCGCAGCAGCAGCAGCAGCGACATGGCCAACAGAAGAAGCTGGCTCGGAACTGCATCTCACTCGAGAATCTCGATGGCATTAGCAAGGTGCAGAACGATCTAGCTACCTACGGCAACAACCTGTTGCAGAACTACACGCAGCAGCAGCAATACTATTTGGCCATGCTGCTGCAGCAGCAGCAGCAACAGGCAGCTGCGGCAGCCGCATCCAATCTCTATCGCCGCCCCTCGGCCTGCAGCGTAACGGGCAGCTGCACAATGCTTGGACAGCAGCGACGCGGCTCACATCATCTGCAGCAGCAGCAGCAGCTGCACCAACAGCATCTGCAGTACTATGGCGGCTTCGGCTATGCCAACTATGCCAATCCCTACATCACAGCCAACAGCAAATTGTCTCTGGGCAATGAGTCCGATGACTATCGCAAGTATCGAGATGTGGCTCTTTAGTAGAGCTTTGCACTGAGCTCCAGTCATACATACACACACACACATATATATATATGTATATGTATATTTATATATGTATAAATTATATATCATACTCATTAGTGGTAGCCCGCTCGACTGCCACACACAAGAAATTCCTCGGAATAACGACCAAAGAGCCACAAAACTAACTCAATTACAGTTTTTGTTTCGTTTCATCTGCAACTGCAGTGCGCAAACGTTATCAATTGAGGTTCTAGCTGTATAACATTTAGATATAAGTGCTCTACGTCCGAATGCGAACATTACCACTTTCAGAGCGACAACGATTTAGGCATTAGAAGTAGGAATTACGTGCAGTAATTACTTGTAATTACTAAGAATTACTTGTAATTACTTCCAATTAGCAGTTTTTTTAATTAAAGTCACACTAATATGCCTAATTACTTGACAAATTTCAGATTTAAAAGGGATTTTAGGCTAATTACTTAAGTAATTAACATCTGAGAGCTGTAATTACTAAGTAATTTAAATTTGAAATGTTAATTTGTAGTTACCTGTTGATTAAAAATACCTGAAAGCTGTAATTACTCAACTAATTAAAATCTAAAAGCTGTAATTAATTAGTAATTAAACCTTAAAACCTGCAATTACTCAAGTAATTATAGATTAAAGTCGCTTTAACTCTAATGCTAAGCGTTTTGTGCAGTGATCGCTCCACAGATGGCAGACAAAAGTCGCGAAGTCGACTGTTTGTACCAATCCAGAGTATATATACATATATATATTTTAGGTATATATGTAGTATATAAATGTTATGTACTTCAATCTGTGTAGAGTTAACAATTTTAGTTACTAGTCTAACTATCGAGTGTTCACTGTATTGTTAATTAATTTACTAGAGATTAACAAATTTTTGCAACTGTTTTCTTGTAGAGTTGTGTAATTAACATAAACAAATCGTTAAGTGTAAATATACATAATTGAAGTAATTAAATATGATTTCTTTTGTTGTTAAAGCTCCTTAAGGTCCTAATAGATCGGCTAGCGGATTATCCGCTATATCTGTGGAACTGCCCTGGATGGGCGTGGCTGTTAGCTTTTTTGTTGCATTTGATGCAGCAGGCCTTGCAGCACGCTTAGCACCACTGGCAGGAGCAACTGAAGCAGCTGCACCACTGCCAAACAGATCATCGTCATCCTCATCATCGCTGAAGAGACTTTTGCTGGGTTTGATGATTGCCTTTGCCTTGGCTTGCAGCCCTTTGCTGCTGGCAGACACTGTAGCTTGGTTTATTGCTGCAGCTGGCTGGGATTTAGGTGGGTTGGCAGCTCTGCTGCCAAACAAATCATCATCATCATCGCTGTCATCAAAGAGTTGGGTTTTCAGAGGCTTCGATTTGCTCTGCTCTTTAGGCAAGGCTTTACTGTCCCTGGACTCATTCTTCAGAGTTGGCTTAGCCATTGACTTAGTTGGGTTAAAGAGTGCAGCATCCCCATCCTCATCATCGCTGTCCAGGAACGTTTTAGCTGCGGCTTTGAGCTTCTCGTTCGTTGGAATTGAAGGAGCAAGAGATGGCGCTGCAGCCGCAGCTGATTTGGCTGCTCTTTCGCTTATTGCTGCTGCAAAAAGTGCATCCTCGTCCTCATCGTTGTTGTCCAGGAAGGATACATAGGATTTGGGTGGCCCAGCAGCGGCTCTGCGCGGAGGGGCTGCTGATGCTGGGCTAAACAGAAAACTGTTACTATCTTCCTCTTCCTCATCGCTGTCCAAAAAGAAAGCCGACTTGGCTGGGGGCTTCTTCATATCATCCTCTGGTGGTAGCGTGGATACCAAAGCAATTGGTGCAGATATTGGCGTTGTAAATGCAGGAGGCGCCTGGACTGCTACTGGAGCCACTGATGCAATTGCAGCAACTGCTGCTGATGAAGCAACTGAAGAAGATTCTGCTTGAAGCACTGCAGGATTCATTGCTGGAGTAACAGAAGCAGCATCTACTGAAGGCATTGTAGACGTAGCACCTGACGGAGCAGCTCCTTTTGGACCTTCTGCTGACGAGGCCACTGGAAAAGCTGTTGCTTGAGTGACAGAAGTAGTTGCTGCTGGCGAGGCATTTGCAGCAGCTTTCTGGAAAGCACTTGAAGTAGTTTCTGTTGGAGCAGCAGCAACGGCGGCTGGAGTAGCTCTTGGAGCAGCTGGAGCAATGGTTGCCACATTTGCTTGCAGTGCCTTGCCAAAGAGCGCATCATCATCATCCTCTGCATCACTGTCCAGAAACAGAGTAGGCTTAGCCCTCGCAGCTGGCTCTGGTTCCTTGACAGCTATCTTCGTGGCAGCCTGTGCTGCGGCCCCTGTTGCAAAGGCCTTGAACAAGGCATCATCTGCTGCCTGCTCTTCGTTGTCGTCACTGTCAAAGCTAGGCAGCTGCCCAGTGGATTTGCTAGAGCTGCGTGCACTAGATGTGGTGGTAGTAGTTGATGACAGTGAAGCAGAGACCACACTGTCAGCTGGCTGTGCCTCTAGCAAGCTCTGGGCATAGTTGGCTCGCCTAGCACGTCGCGTTGAGGGTCGTCGATGAGCTGGGCCACGCACGCGTGTCTTGCCAATGCATTGCAGAATATTATCCGATTCGCTGAGACTTGAGTTTGGCACTGGCTTCAAGGCTGGACTTGCAGCTTGGCTAATGACGGGAGTGGGAGCTGGCTCCTCCTGCTTTTTGGGAAGCTTTGCGCTAGGCAGCAGCGCCTGCACATTGATGTTTATGTTGGGCATTTGCAGTTTCTTGATGGGCGAGCTGGGCTTAGCCACATCCGCTGGAGGTTGCTCATCCAAGAACGCAGCTGCGCCTGCGCGCGCTGTTTCACTAAAGTCATCATAGAAAATGGTGTGAATCCGCTTTGGTGTGGTCGATTCCTGCTGAGCAGGAGCTGAAGCTGTCACAGGTGCAGGCTGAGATTCCTGCATCCCTTCATCATCATCATCGTCTGGCGGCACATCGCTAAACAAACGCATGCCACCATAATCCTTGCTGGTCTCTGCAGCTGCTGGCAGATCGGGCAATGCGGGCTCATAGAAGTCCTGTTCGTGCTCGCTGTCGAACATCTTGGAGGCGCTCAGGCTGGTCAGGCTGCTGGTGGCCAGGGATTGAAAGAACTCGCTATCATCGGGCGGCTCATCCGAGAAGAGGCTTGAATAGTTTTGCATAACTTGCTTTGCAGCAGCCACATCTTCGGATGCACGCGTCTCCTTCTTGGCTTTGCCTTGACTTAGCTCAGCAACGAGACTGATAATCGGATCCTGCTGATCCTCAGTTGCCGGCTGCTCCTCTTCTGCTTTCTCTGACTGCATATCAGCCTCAAAGTTTTCTTCAGGCTTCCAATCAGTCAACTCAGCCTCCTGAACTCGCTCTTTCTCATTGCTCAATGGCTGCTCCATCTCTGGCTCAGCTTTAGGAGGTAACTCGGACTTGGCAGCAGGCTTCACGTCTGGCTCTTCCTGCTTACTGGATAACTGCTCATTCACAGCCTTAGCTCTAGGATGCACATCAAGATTAGCAACTGGCTTCACTTCCTTCTCAGATTTTGGCTGCTCAGCTGGCGGATGATCTTCAGCTTTGTTACTTGGCTCTTCCACTGCTTTAATCTCTTTTGAATCTCTTATTACTGCCGCATCGCTAAAATCTTCATTGAATATAGGTGCTGTAGGCATTTGCAGCTGCGCCTTATCAGTCGAATCTTTGCTAGCTTGCTGCTTCTCAACTTCGGCTATGTCTTGTGGCTCCTCCATTTGCTTGGCAACATCTGCTGCTCGTGCTTGCTCAGCGAGTCTCTTAGTTTCCCTTTCTGCTGCAGCGTATGCAGGCTTATTTGACTTGGGCGTGGCAAATAGATCATCATCGTCCAGATCATCGAAGAGACTTCGCTTGGGCTGCTCCTCAGCTGCTGGCAGTGCAGCCTCAGCCACTTTTTGCTTGTTCCCAAGTTCCTTGGAGACCTGGCCAAAGATGTTTTGGACAAGCTGATCATCCTCTTCATCGTCATCAAACAGCGAGACTTTGCTGGTCGGCTTTTGCCGGGCAATCGGATTCGCAGTTGCTGGCTGCACTGACTCAACTTCTGTTGGTTGTTTCATAGCTTCTTTAGAAGCCTGAGCAGCTCGATCATCGGCTAGATCATCATCGAACAAAAAGGCTTTGTTGGCAAGCGAAGCTGCCTCTGTGGGCGTCTCTTTGGCAGTGCGCTCTGCAGCTGTTGGCAATTCAGGCACAGGCTGCTTCTCAACTTCTCTTGATGGCTTGCCAAAGATGTCGTCTTGCTCGTCATCTTGCAGATCATCGAACAGCGGCGCTTTCGCAGTTGGTTTAGCTGGCTGCCCTATCGGTTTCTTCTTCGCAAATATATCATCTATATCCACATCATCATCGTCATCAAATAGGGACTTTTTCAATGTTTGTTGCAGTGGCTTTGCTCTGGGCTTTAGGGAGCTCAAGAAGTCGTCGACATCGTCATCCAAATTGTCATCGAAGAGCGATGTAGGCAGCTTCTTGACGGGCTGTACAACAGTTGCTGGTTGCAAATTAGGACTCAATGGTGGGCTGTCCTCAAAGAGATTTGGTCTACGTGAAGCTGTATCAATTGGTTTCGATTTAACTTCCTGTGGAGCAGGCAATTCCTTGGGCTTGGCCACAGTTGCTTTGGAGCTGTTGCCTGACTTTGCTTGCACCTTGTCCACAATTTCTGACATAAACGAATTGAACTCATCGTCATTGAAGAGATTTACAGGCTTTCGCTTGATCTGACTGACAGCAGCAACGGGTTTTACTTCGCTGGTAGCTGCAACGGGCATCGCAGCAGGCTGGGCTGCTGCAACTGCTGGAAGTGCATCATCAAATAATTTAGGCGGAGTTTGTTTGCCTGTTGCTTGTATGACCCTGCTAACGCTGCTGCTGCTCGAGCTGAGCGAAACGTTTGCTCTTGATTGGTTCATTGCTGCGACGTTTCCATGAGAAACCGCTGGAGAGGAGTTAAGCGAGGATGAACTGGATGGCGGATCATCGCTAGGAGGCGAAGCACGCAACGCTGTAAATAAATCGCTCTCATGTGGATTTCTATGCATGCTGATAATAGGTCGAGGTTGGGCTGTAGGGCGAGCTTGGTTAACAGGCGCAGCTACAGACGGTGGCTGTCTTGGCATTGGCACCTCCTTGGGCAGCGAGGCGAGCGAAGAAGAATCAGATTGTAGCGATAGCTGTGATGGATCTGATTGTTGTAGGGGCGTTGCCTTTACTGGCTCAGCTGTTTCCAGCTCGTCCGAGGAGCTGGAGGAGAACTGCTCGGGCTGCTCCTCCTCGCTGTTTTCAGCACTATCATAGAGCCCCGCATATTTGTGCTCCTGCCACTGCTTAGAGCCAATAATATAGGGCAATGGGATAGCATCATAGGGGTTCTTATCTCTGTACACAGTGCTGCACGAGATATATAATAGAAGAATGATAATAGAAGTTTTATATGAAATGACATTACTTACGTGGCATTTACAGCGCCGTCTTCATCATCCGAGTCGGGCACTTCAATTGTGACTGCCTCAAAGTTCTTTCTAAACATTTGCAAATTATTCTGCAGAAACTCCTCAGCCAGCTGCTGGGAGGTCTTCAGCGGAGGCTCAGGCTATAATTGGAAGAAAAGCTTAAGTTCAAGCTATACATAAATGCAACATTATCTTCAAGAATACCGTCTTCGCCTGCTCCTCAGGCAACGCAAAATCGTCATCTTCCACCTCCTCCACGCGATACTCCACGAATTGCTGTCCGAATTGCAACGAGCGCAAACTATTTGTTGCATTATCCAGAGCAATATCAGCACGTCTTACGTTCGTTTCAAATTGGATTAAATTTTGACTCGTTCGTTCGCCTTGCTCTTGCAGATTCTGAAAATCATTGTGATTAATACAAATTTGATCAATTTTTTATCAAAATCCACGCCCACTTGGGAGATGCGTTTCATTAGCTCCAGCAACGCGCAGTCACCAGCAAAATTCCAATCTGAAGCCTGCGATATAATCGCATCGACATCTCCACTTAAATCCATATTATAAATATTTTAAATATGCCTAGATTGTAAATAAACAAAAGATTTCGCCGCTTCAGCGGCTCTTTGACTGCCATCAAGCACAATTGAACTTGGTTTGATGTGGCTCACACACGTTACAACATGTCATGCAAAATGCAAGAACCCATGTTATTAGATCAAACCTTTTAATTTGACAATTACGTTAGATCAAATATGAATCGATAATAAAATTACATGTACTTACATGTACATATGTGAAACGAATGTCACACACGTGAAAACTGTAATTGTTGTCGTGTATGCGCCACCGAATAGCTGTTTCTTGTTCCTTTCCTCTGCTGCAGCTTAACATAATTTATTGTGGCTCACACACGTTTCAGCGTCATGCAAGGCAACATTTTGCCAGTAACGTAAGCTAACACAGAAAAATGTTATGATGTGGGAAATTAAACATTTAAAATAATAATTATGTCAGTCCGAATTAAGTTACATCAACTCTAACATAACATGTGCTAAGCTATATATTGTCAGCTTTTGTCCCATACACGATACACCCGATATTGCCGTTGGGCACAAGCTAACAGCTGTTTTCGATTTTCTTTTGCTGCTGTTCAACACGTGCTTGGCATGGGAAGCGTTTGTATCGGCAGCTAAAAGTTAATTTCTATTAATATTATTTATTATTTAATTTGTATTATTATTGAATATAAGTAGTGATTTAAACCTGCATACAGCCATATAATATAATAATAATGGCAATGCTCGCAGAACCGCGTCGTCGCAAGCGCTACAATTTGAGTCCGCGCGGCAAGGCGCTCTACGAAGGTGAACACAAAAAAGAATAATAAAAAATGTGAATTTATTTATTTTATTTTATTTTAACGGTAGATGATACGCGCTTCGGCATGAAAATGATGGAGAAAATGGGCTGGGCGAAAGGACGTGGTCTGGGTGCCAACGAGAATGGTTCTCAGGAATTTATACGAGTGCGCTTTAAGAACGACGCTCTAGGATTGGGCTACGAAACACGCGATGATCAATGGACCATACATGAGGAGGGCTTCAATGGATTGCTAAAATCACTAAATGTAGAGGAGGAGAACGGAAATGAAGCGAATGGCAATGCATCCGATTTAGAAGAAAACGCCCGACCCATGGGTTTTGGTTTCAAAGCGCCAGTAGCCGCTGTTAAAGAGGCACAGCCAAAGAAACTCAAGGAAAAGTTAAGCGGCATTTCACTGGAGGAAAAATCCAAAGATAGTAAAGCTCGCGTACATTACAAGAAATTCACACGTGGCAAGGATCTTTCACAATACAGTGAAAAAGATCTGGCCAATATATTTGGAAAGAAGGCCACAGATGAAATTGAGATTCCAGTGCAGATTGAGAAAGAGGAAGAAATGGAAGAGGAGAAGCCTGTGAATCCCAACTTTGCGGGCGTTAAAACTGTAAGCACTGGACTCTCTGTCAATGATTACTTCAAACAGAAAATGGAGGCAATAAAACAAAGGTTGGCGAACAAGAATACCATAAATACCACATTAAATGGATCAGCAAATGCATTGGTAATCGAAGACGAAAACGGTGAAGAAGTGCCCGCTAAAAAGAAACACAAGAAGAAGGATAAAAGCAAAGAGGAGCTTGAGATAACAGAAACTGAAGTGGTAACAATTGAAGAACCGTCGAAGAAAAAAAAGAAATCAAAGCGTGCAGCCGAAGAGAGTACGAATACAGAGCACAAAGAAGACCCGGCTACAGAGGCGTCTAATGAGCCAAAGCGCAAAAAGAAAAAGAAGGATAAGGTAAAGGCTGCGGAAGATTTGACAGAACTCTGCGAACTAGTTCCAGCGTTAGAAGAGACTAAAAATAATAAAAATGAGCAGAGCAATGCAGATGAGGAGTATATAGGAAAACTGCCCAAAAAGAAAAGCAAAAAAAGCAAAGAAGAGCTCACTGAGAAACCAGAGTTAACAGAGAACACAATTCCTGACAACTCTGCCAAGAAAAGGAAAAACAGTCAAATAGAAAATAAAGAAGATAAGATAAACGAGGTTGAATTTCAAAAGCAACCTGAATATAATGAATTACCTGCCAAGAAGAAAAGCAAGAAAAATAAAATAGAAGACAAAGAAGGGCTAAAGGAATTTGATTTGCAAGAGGAAACAAGACAAGAGAAAACTGAGAAACCTGCCAAGAAAAAAAGCAAAAAGAGTAAAACAGAGGAAAAGGAAGAAGAGACAATTCCAGAAAAAATCGACGAAAAACCTGCCAAGAAGAAAAGTAAGAAGAGTAAAACACAGGATAGGGAAGAGGATCCAATTCCAGAAGAAATCGACGAAAAACCTGACAAGAAAAGTAAGAAGAGTAAAACACAGGATAGAGAAGAGGACCCAATTCCAAAAGAAATCGACGAAAAAACTGACAAGAAAAGTAAAACAGAAGACACAGAGGACTTAGTGCAGCCACAATTGCAAGAGGAAGTCAAATCTAAAAAGAAATCGAAAAAAAGCAAACCCTCCAATGTGGATGAGCTTCAAGACATCTCCAGAGAGCTTCCAGTGCCTGCCAATAAGGAGAAATCTAAGCAGCCCGAAACTGATGTAAGTGCAACAGCTGATGAAATTGAATGCTCCAGTGACGCGACAGCTGCAGCAGAAAATAGTGGCGCAAGCTATCTATCAATGGAGCAATTGAAAAGCTTGCTCAACTCATACAATGTCTTACAAATCTCTTCATTTTGTGCAGAAAAGTTTCACATCTTAGATATGCAAGCATTCGAGAATTCAACACTAAGCGGAATACCTGGCTACAGTTTCGACGAGAACATTGAACTGAAGATCGTGGAGATAAAGTCGGATGCGTGTCGCATCATGAATCTGTGGGAGGGCAAACAGGCGAAATATGGACATCAGTCAGATGAACAGCGAACACGCAGAATGGTTAACAAGCTAACATTTAAGAAACTTACGAGTTCGCATATTAAAAAGATAAACAGTTATAATGCCTTCTCAGGGCTGTAGATGAGTTAAAAATTCAAAACATAAAGATTAACAGATGTAAATCTTTAATATTAAACAACGATTGAATTCTTAACTTGTAGGTAATATATTAGTTTTTTTGTACATAGTTTCCATTTTTTAATGTGTAACAATTATATATATATATATACTATATATAATAATAAAAACCAGCCAAGGTGTATGCGCGCGTACATAAAAATAATGAGTGTTCGCTTCTTTTGATTTAAGTGCATCTTACGTTGTGTTGCTGTCTGTAGAGAGCTCTCCTCTGTGTCATAATTTGTCTTCAGTCTTCAGAGGAGAGTTTTTGTGCAGCTGATTTTTTTTTATTTTTTGATTTATATACATATACATATATATATTTGTGTGTATATGAATATAGATGAACGTGTCACTCGTAGAGGTATGATTTAACAGCTGAACATGTTTTATAATTAATTACTAATTGTTAATTATTAAAGCTATACAATATGCAAATATCAAAGGCCTCCTACTCAGGTGTATTATTCCGATTAGCTAAACGACGCGAACGACGCAACGGTCGATTCTCATGCGTTTGACTGCGACGACGTTTCAAGCTCTGCATCGCCATATTTCTATTATAATTATTTAAATTAACATGCGTATCCCACTGCAAAAATAAAAACGAAATAGTTTAGATCAGATATTATTACAAAGGCATTGACTTACGGAGCTGGATACAATTTCAGAGCGCACTGGATGCCAGTCCAGATCGCGTATTACGTTTTTATGTCCCTCAATAGCCTCACGTATTTTGCCCGTCAGTACGTCATAAACTGTGAAGAAATAATATATATGAGTAGTTGTAGGTTTATGTATATATATTATATTTTTACTTATTATGCGACCCGTGGCACAGCCCGTATATATGAAACGTTGGCCGGTCTGCTCCATAGGTGAAAACTTGGCGCGAAGCAGCGTTTTACTAACACGATGTCCACGATACGTCATAATGCTGCTATCACCATCTAAAGCTTTATGTGGATTGTAAACTGTAAAAAAGGATTCCGTAAAAAGTTAATAATTATTGCATTATATAATAATTAAATGGACATAAACTTGGTAACCGCTTTTTCTTTGCGACTACCAATAATTTCAGCGCCTTTTACTGTAGACTTCAGGTTCGATCTTGACTCTACTTTGCGGTCAATGCTCTTAAAAGTCTGGTAAGGTAAGTTAAGCTTGCTTACACACAGTATTCTTACCATTTATACTATAAACTTAATTTATACATAATACATTTAATAGCTAAAGATTATCATTCTCAACAGCTGCTTACATTCGCGTGGCACTCGATCCCAACGGTAATCCCAAGTGGCCATCGCCAACTGATGTTGCCGGGCGTTGCTCCGATTGCGCAAATTGCTTGGCTTGCGCATATCCCAAATTTTAATGCTTTGGTCCTTGGAATTGGAGAGCACATGGTAACCATCATTACGTGAATCAATATATGTAATGCCATCAAAGTGTCCAATAAAAGAAACAACACTTTTGGACAAACTGCGGCTGCGAAATGAGGTACGCAAATCATAAACCTTTAACAAACCATCGTCACAACCAGCGATTATCACATTCGGATCATTGTCATTGACATAACAAACGGCATTCACATCCGTTAAAGGCATGCGATGGGTACGCAGGATTTGTGTAGCACGTGTTTCGACATCTCCAATAATTACCGTGGCATTATTACTGCCACCAATAATTTTATCGCCCGTTGGCGAATAACGAATTGAGAAAATAGCAACCCGACTGCTTGAAGTTTCGTTTACATCAATCCATTGGCAATCATCGTCGGAGCCATCAATAGGCATTATATAGACTACACAGAGAGAGAAAGAGAGCGTAAGAGAGATAAAAAAATATAAATATACATGCATTATCTATTTATAATAAATGCTTACAAGAACGTGACCAAGTAGAGTATGCAAAATGCTGGCCATTCGGACTAAAATCCGCATCTGTAATGCTCCACTGTACATCGCGTGCATTTATTCTATTTAGCAGATGATAAGTGCCTTTGGAGCCATCATTAATGCGCACGAAGCCATCTGCAAAGTTCAATTGCGCATTAATTTATTTGATAATCCAAACTGGAACTGGAACTCTGGAACTGGAACTGACCTTGACAAGCTGTTAAAAGTTTACTGCCCGTCTTATTGAACTTGGATACAAACACTTTGGCATCGAGCGACATTAAACGCATTGATCTATGATTCGGTATATACATATTAGAGAAATATCGTTGTTGATTAGGTGAAAAGGAATCGCTGCCAGGATATGCAAGGCCATTTTCTCGCTTTTGCAGGGCTTGCATTAAATTCCAACGCTGTTCCGTTGGTTTGCTCACAAAGCTACAACGTGCTTTCACCTCTTTGTACATATCTGTGTTCTGTAATGATTTGCAATTGTTGTGTGTAAACAAAGAGATTATTGTTATCAATTTCATGCTCACTCGAAATTTATCTACGTTTGGCTTTTCACAAACTGGCAGATTGTTTGGGTGATTGTTTTGATGACGAAAATGCACATCCATGGCATCCACTGTGAAATTGATAACATTGTAGCCAAATCCATCCTCGGGTAAGTCAAATAGGTCATCGTCTTCGCTTATGAACCCCAATGAATTACCCATGCTATAACTGTGAAAGCCAAACCAAACAAAATAAATGTAATTTACACCAAATCGACAAAAATTGTTTGTTAGAATTTGTGTGGAGGTGTGTCGATATGTCAACCGTCAGCTGTGTGGTCTATCGGAAAGTAACAGCAGTTCTTATTTTACAACACTATAAGTATTAGCTGTTGTGAATAAGTATAATTTGAATTACAATCAAATTATTTGTTTACTTTCACCTAGAGTCATTGTTTTATTTAATTCTGAAGTCATTAAAAAAGGTGGCTATAATTTAAATTAAATTCCAGTATTTACATATACTGTTAATTAACAGCACTCAAAGCTCGTTGCTCAGCTTGAAGCTCACGCATGTCTCAAAGCTCAGATCAGTCTCTCGGCGATCGTTAACGAAGTAGCGTGCGCAGCGGTCGGCTTTACTTTGCCTTGCACTTATGAGTGTGTGTGTTTGTATATATATATTTATATGTGTGCGTTTGGTAATGAAATTTGTTACATTCCCGTTTATAGTTTGCATTTGTGTTAGTACACAGTTGTGCACATATATAAGCCGAAAATATTAAAAAAATGCCAAAAATGTAGTAAATAATAAAGAATCTTAAACTTTTGTTTGCGCCCGTGCCTTTGCCCGTGCTCACTGAACTGTATGCGTGTGCATGTGTGTGTATGTGTGTGCGTTTTTAGTGGCGAGTTTTGTTGCTATACCAGCTTATGCTTATGCCGTCTATGCATGTGTGTATGAGTGTGTGAAATTTATCATAAATACTTTTGCACAACGCGCGCCCCTCAAAACGCATGAGAAGAAAGTTGTTTAGCTGCGTAGAAAACAACACACGAAACAACAGAAAAAAAACACCGAAACACGAAAGAATAACAGAAAACAATTGAAATGCTGAAATACAAAGTATGTCAAATGTTTGCTAGAAGGCAGCGGAAGAGCAGTGGCGGAGGAGCAAAGGGCCTTCCAAAGTGCATAACGTCTAAAGCGAACTTTCCAGCCATGCACTTGCATACATTCATATGAATAAATGTGTATGTGTATATCGCGTGTGTATAATCAAGGAAAAAATAATAATAATAATGGAAAGAGACGAGAAATAATTTACAAAAAACTGGAGCGGCACACAAAAAAGTGAAAGATTGCAAGCATGCACACACATACACACGCACGCACATAGAGTATACGAGGGAGGGAGAGGGAGAAAGAGTGAGAGAGAGAGCAGGCACCTGCAGTCATTGTTGTTGTTGCTGCACATTTGTACTTTTTATTTCCCTTTTGTCTGTTTTGTACGTAAATAATAAACGTCGTCTGTGTAATTTAGTGCACACTGCGTTTTAGTGTTGGTTAGTTTTGCTCCGGAATCAAATTGGGTTTTTTGACAGTTCTCCCCCATTGTTAGGGCGACTTCCAATTAGCAGCTTGGAATTTGGCACACTTGCAATTAGCGCTAGCCAAAAGTACTTGCTCAAGCTATTAGCAGCACTAGCCTCCGCTTTCCACATTCCATTATAAGCCAATATATATTTGCGCATTTCATTTGCCACAATAGATGGCAAAAAATATGAAAAAAAACAGTTATCTCCGGCTACCTTTTTTAATGCTATTCATTTCGTTTCGTAAGCGCGCAATTTAAATGTGTTTTTATTTTCTTTCTATTTTCGTTATTTTTATCTTTATCTGCTTTTGACCGTGCAGCGGCCGTAAGTGACGCAATCATTTGCATTTTGTTTAAATAACTATGATTGTTTCATTGCTAATGACTGGAAACCAGTTATAGATATAAACAAGCTGTATTTTATTTAGACATTCATTTCATTTCGTTTTATTTGATGTCGTTGTTGTTGTTGTTGTTGTTGTTGCTGGCAATTATGCCAATAAAAGCTCATTAAAGTATTCACATCGCTGTTGTTGTTGCTGCATTGCGTCTTTTACCGTTATTAATATCGATAACAATGACATATCGTTTTTGTTTTTGTTTGTATTGTTGCTGACACGACTCAAAAGACTTAAGCAACAAACTTGCCACCAAATTGTCACGCAGCTAAATTGATAAAAAAAAAAACCTAGACATCCAAAAGCCCAAAACGCTCTTTATGCAAATAGCATTTAATTTAATCTATTTAAATATTTTGATTGAGCGACTTTCGTTTTCTTTCTTTCACTCCATTCCTTTTTTTTGTATGAAGTTAAACTGATTTTTGGAAATAATTCAAAAGAAATAATGCCATCACTTTTTTAACTGCTTCAAGTTTTCTTTTCGTTAACTGCGAAATGTTGAGAATGCTTACCTAATAGGAAATTGTCAATTCGATAATGAAATATTGATGCTTAAATTAGAGTTTTAAATGTTAACTCTATTTACATAAGCTGTTATTTGGAATAGAAAACCCGTTTCTAATTATCAATTGCTTTAGCAAGCATTCTTAATTATGTAAATATATATGCATATATATACACGGCTAGGTATGTATGTATGTATGCTGTAACTCATTAACATTTAGATCGACAAGCAGTATAATGATGTTAATATTTAATATGAGCATTTGAGCAGAGAGTGAGATGTACTCGCACAGGCCTGCAGTTCATCAATTTATAAATTCGTACATAATACATGCATACATACACACACAATCTACCTAGCTAACCAGGATACCTACGATGCCTACATACCTACGATACTCTCCATTTCTACATACATTACATACTCTATGTACTGCACATACCCTACATATTCTACCTACTCTACCTACTCTACCTACTCTACATACTCTACATACTCTACATACTCTACATACTCTACATACTCTACATACTCTACATACTCTACATACTCTACATACTCTACATACTCTACATACTCTACATACTCTACATACTCTACATACTCTACATACTCTACATACTCTACATACTCTACATACTCTACATACTCTACATACTCTACATACTCTACATACTCTACCTACTCTACATACTCTACATACTCTACATACTCTACATACTCTACATACTCTACATACTCTACATACTCTACATACTCTACATACTCTACATACTCTACATACTCTACATCTCTACATTCTCTACATTCTCTACATTCTCTACATTCTCTACATTCTCTACATTCTCTACATTCTCTACATTCTCTACATTCTCTACATTCTCTACATTCTCTACATTCTCTACATTCTCTACATTCTCTACATACTCTACATACTCTACATACTCTACATACTCTACATACTCTACATACTCTACATACTCTACATACTCTACATACTCTACATACTCTACATACTCTACATACTCGACATACTCTACATACTCTACATACTCTACATACGCTACATACTCTACATACGCTACATACTCTACATACTCTACATACTCTACATACTCTACATACTCTACATACTCTACATACCTCTACTACTCTACATACTCTACATACTCTACATACTCTACATACTTACATACTCTACATACTCTACATACTCTACATACTCTACATACTCTACATACTCTACATACCATACTCTACATACTCTACATACTCTACATACTCTACATACTCTACATACTCTACATACTCTACATACTCTACATACTCTACATACTCTACATACTCTACATACTCTACATACTCTACATACTCTACATACTCTACATACTCTACATACTCTACATACTCTACATACTCTACATACTCTACATACTCTACATACTCTACATACTCTACATACTCTACATACTCTACATACTCTACATACTCTACATACTCTACATACTCTACATACTCTACATACTCTACATACTCTACATACTCTACATACTCTACATACTCTACATACTCTACATACTCTACATACTCTACATACTCTACATACTCTACATACTCTACATACTCTACATACTCTACATACTCTACAGACGCGACAGACGCGACAGACGCGACAGACGCGACAGACGGGACAGACGCGACAGACGGCGCACACGCGACACACGCGACAGACGCGACAGACGCGACAGACGACAGACGCGACAGACGCGACAGACGCAGACGCGACGACGCGACAGACGCGACAGACGCGACAGACGCGACAGACGGACAGACGCGACAGACGCGACAGACGCGACAGACGCGACAGACGCGAACAGACGGGACAGGACGCGACAGACGCGACAGAGGCACACGCGACACTACGCGACAGACGCGACAGACGCGACAAGACTGCGACAGACGCGACAGACGCGACAGACTCGACAGCGACAGACGACAGACGCGAAGACGCGAAGACGCGACAGACGCGACAGACGCGACAGACGCGACAGACGCGACAGACGCGACAGACGCGACAGACGCGACAGACGCGACAGACGCGACAGGACGCGACGACGACGACGCGATCGACGCGACAGACGCGACAGACAGGACAGACGCGACAGAACGCGACAGACGCGACAGACGCGACAGACGCGACAGACGCGACAGACGGACAGACGCGACAGACGGCGACAGACGCGACGACGCGACAGACGCGACAGACGCGACAGACGCGACAGACGCTGACAGACGCGACAGACGCGACAGACGCGAAGACGCGACAGACGCGACAGACGCGACAGACGGACAGACGGGACAGACGCGACAGACGGCGCACACTGACACACGCGACAGACGCGACAGACGCGACAGACGCGACAGACGCGACAGACGCGACGACGCGACAGACGCGACAGACGCGACAGACGCGACATACGCGACATACGCTGACAGACTCTACATACTCGACATACTCTACATACTCTACATACTTGACATACTGCTACATACTTCTCACACTCTACACACTCTACATACTCTACATAACTTCATACTCTACATACTCTACTACTCTACATACTCTACATACTCTACATACTCTACATACTCTACATACTCTACATACTCTACATACTCTACATACTCTACATACTCTACATACTTTACATACTCTACATACTTCTCACACTCTACACACTCTACATACTCTACATACTCTACATACTCTACATACTCTACATACTCTACATACTCTACATACTCTACATACTCTACATACTCTACATACTCTACATTCTCTACATACTCTACACCACTGTTGAGAAGAACACCATCGCACACACACACACTCACAAAAAAACACTTCGTCCAGCAGGCTAGCCACCAAACCTTACTTGAATTCATGAGAATCGAGGAGGAGAGCACTGACCCATTCTATATATTAAAGTCTGCAGCGCAGCGAAAACTAAATTTAAACAACAAATGATATGATTTCAGGAAGATTTGACTATATACATATGTGCATAGATACATGATGCATCATATATACATACATACACACACATATACTCACATACATACATATATATTAGCAGAATTTTCATTTTAGAAATTTGCAGCTTTTTTCAAGTTTTTGCAGATTTTTACATTGTAATTTAAAAAATATAGAAACAATTTAACTATATTTATATTTGTTTATAGTTCATAATGAAAGGTTTGAGGATCCACAAATTGGTTTTAGATCAACAAGCAATAAAAGACACTTTTAACTTATAGTGTTCCTCGCAGTTTCTTAACTCAAATTTGCTAAAAGTTTTCAGTTTTTATTTCAAAATTGAACAAACAAAAATATTCCAATTTAAATGCAAATTTCTTTCAACTGTTTGCTCAGCTGTTTTTCCGCATCGCATTTTATGAAATGCATTGAAATGGAAAACAAATCTTACGAGACGGGGCGAGTCGCGTCGAGTGATACATGAGATAAATTTTATGCTTGGCATGTGCGAAATTCTACGCCAGCTGCGGGACACAAACAAAGTTTGCTCGGCATGGATATAGAAAACGTATAGCTGCTCTTAATGCACGTTCAGCAGGTGCAAAAGGGGGTGGTTTAGCTTGGGCTGTATGGACACTGGAAACTGGAGACCTGCTTGACTTAGTATATCTGAAATGTTTAGCGTGTATCAAGCAGTCGGCAGCCACGTTCTGGCTTCTGCTTCCTCTGCTGCTTAGTTACAGCTCGCTGCGCTGGCAGCGCGTTTGTAACGCTTATGTAAGATCCGCAACTCTGCCGCGCTGCCCCTCTTTGCTGATGGGCTGCGGCAGGCGTTTTGTCAGTTGGCTTCAAATCCCATTTCGAATCTCTTCAATGTCTGTCATTACAAATTATCATTACACGCCAATTATGTCAGAAAGTAGACTCTAATTAGACCATTCAATCAAAGCCACATTGTGATCGCATCACAGATCTGTCATCTGTATATATATATATATGTCTATAGATATATATATTTGTTTTGTAGGCGTTTTTCATTCATGGCTCGATTGACTCTTTTTTTTCGTGTGGGCTGCCAGCGGCGCCAAATCAATTTAAGTTTACGACATGCTCTATCCATCTCTCTCTTACTCTCCTCTCTCTCTCTCTCTGTGACCAGCTTATTGACAGAATCTAGTCAAACTTTTTGATGAGTGATGCTGCGAGGAATGCTGCGAGGTGTTGGCCAAAAACAATCTATGCTTAAAAACGGTTTTGGTCTTAACTCTCAGCTGGTATTAATTGAGAAAATTAGTTTAACATATTTAGATAGAAAGATCTTTCGATATATATATATAGTTGTATATGTGTAGGTGCATATATTGAGTGAGCTAACAGCTGGGAACAGTTAAAAAGCATTCTATAATTAATACGAGCAAAGATTTTTATTTTGTTATATTAGAATATAAAAATTTCATATTGCTATAAGACTGAAAAAAAGAAATGCATATATTATTTATATTATATATATTATATTATATTATATATAAAAGAAGTGGGAACAGTTTGCATTGTTATTAAGAGAATGTTTGTAAAATGTTTGGAAATAAATTATGTCTTATTAATTATGATTTAAACAAGAAGTGGGAACAGTTTTTCTATGAGCTTATATACAAAAATATGAGATAGAAGTGGGAACAGTTTATGACCCCACTTTATCTAGCCAATTTTGCTTGTTTAAATTGCTCAATCAAAACATTCCAAAGATATCCAAATTTCTCGCTGAACAAAGTGTGTAAATTCATTGTTTTTAATTTTGGAAAGAAAGGAAATGTTAATCTAATAGGAAGTAACTAATCGCCCCTCGCCATCCTTCTCTAATTGCATTTGGTAATGCTCGATCGAGAGCAAAAGCTCGCTGTGAAGACGGAAACTTGGGGCAAATGGTTTTGGTAGAAATAATTTGATATTACAAAACGTTTGCTTGCCGCAAAACGTGGCAAAGTGGCATGCAAGCAGCAAGCAGCGGCCAGCAACCTTCGCAATTGAATGTTGCAATCAGGCTACCCCCAACACACTCCCGCTCCGCCACCTGTTGCCTGTTACCTGCTTTGAACAATTGCTTAACGTTCATTAAACTTGAAAAGAAAGCAAAGTTTTTTTTTTTTTAATTTTGGCAGCAAGTGCAAATGCAACTGCAACAATCTATTAATATATATATGTGTGTGTGTGTGTGTGTATGTGTTTTATGGTTAGCCAACTCTGATTTAATTGTGGAAAATCTACAACAACAATCGCAGCAATTAATTAAATGGAAATAAAAGTGAGGGAGAGAGAGAGAGAGAGAGAGCTTGGAGCTAGCAATAACAATTCAATGGCCTGCTTCTGCCGCAGCTGGTGCCAGGCGCGCATGTTGCAACAACAACAATTGCAACAAGTTCAATTGTTGCACGTTGCTTGGCTGCGAGTTCAATGGCAAATGGCTTTCAATGCCTCGTCAAGATCTCTAGCTTAACCTTTCAAGTGGGATGTCCATATTTGCGCTCTTGCTGCTGCTGCTGCTGCTGCTGCTGCTGCTGCTGCTGTTGCTGCTGCTCTTGTCCACTTTGATTAAAATACATTAATTATATTTTCACAGTCCAACTTCAAGTCGGCTCGCAACAAAAATGAAAGTTTATTTTGGACACACAAACCAAACCAAAAAAATATATAAAAATGAAGCAACTTTGGCTTTGACTTTGACTTTTTTGCTGGCTTTTGGCTTTTGGCCAGTTTTGGTCACAGTTGCTGCTGCTGTTGTTGCTGTTGCTGTCCATTGATATGCCCAATTTGAGGCATCTGCTGCGGGTGGGTTAGCGCGTATTAAAAGGAAATTCAAATGCCCACACAAACGCGACTAAGTTGGGATTCCGCCTAAAAGTGGTTGTCAATTTAATACCCTGTAAACACAAAATAGGCATGCTATAACAGTTGTTATGCTTGTTCTTTCCACTGAGTGATCAAATTATTTTCGATAAATATCGATTGCTGTCTGTCTATATCTAATGACAATTGACTGTGTCAATGTTGCCTAAATTTATTGTCATTTCTATAACCATAAGCATTGAGAGTATTATTATATAGACACACGTCTTGTGCCATCAAATCGATAAATATCGTTTATAGTCCCGTTAATGATTACTAACTAAGACCATAACTGCGCTTAATGAATGATCTGTAGAACTTATCTGAGCTCTTTTCTTGTTCAGCCAAGAACATTAGTTTCCTTGCACTTCAATATTTATCTGTAAAAGAATTTGTCTTTGCCATGGTTCTGAGTCGGCGCTATTCAAGTTAAAGAGCTCGAAACTGTTTTCGCAAGAGGCTTGGCAGGTGCGAAAAAACTTGAGCCATAAAAACTTAAAATACATATTCAAAAGTTGATGACACATAAGATACTCATTAGCGGGAATAGAGTCGCATGGAGTTGAAGCAGAGGAAGACTTTTGTGCGATTGCGCCTTGTCTCTAAGCTGAACTAAACCACTTTCTATAATATGAATATAATTATAATTATATGTAAACTATTAAGACTACCCTCGCTTATTCAATATTAAGTTATATACCTATTTTAAAGAATACTTTAGCTATTGCATTAAATGCAAAGAGAAATCCAAGTATTTCTATAAAAACGCGGTCAAGCTCTGTCAATTACAGGGTATGCCCAGGTCGTGCTGTCTTTACACTAGTTAACACACTTTGATTTCAATTTATTTGTTGTTTCAATTTGGCACTTTTGACTTATTTTATGTGTTTTTCTCCTCCTCGCTCTCCTTTGGGCAGCTACTGGCCTGAGCAGCAGCAGCAGCAGCTGATGTGGAACATGGCGCACAAATTGGCTGGCCAATAAATTAACATAGGAGCTGAACAAGGCAAACCGAAAGTGTCACGACCAACGTCGAGGAGCAGCAGCAGCAGCAGCAACAAGTAGAACTTGATAAACGTGTCGATAGACAATCGAAACAGAATATAAATTGCAAGTGAAATTTTTTGGAAATAAAAGTAAAACCACAAGCAAACCGGAAACTAGCTAACAAGAAGAAGAAGCAGCAGCAGTGGAAGAAGTGGAAGCTGTAGGAACAACTTCCACTAACATGTATCGTCCAAATTTCTACGAGTCAACCTGCCTGCGCTGCAGCGAGACCGTCTATCAGGTGGATCGTGTGGGTCCGCTCAAGGATTTCACATTCTTTCATTCCGGTTGCTTCAAGTGCGTTCACTGCGGCACCAAACTAACGCTCAAAACGTATTTCAACAACCAGCACAAGCAGGATGACAAAGAGGTAAGCCGCGAAACGAAAGACTTAGGCGACGAACTTGCACCAGCAAATTATTTACTGCTGTTTTTATAAGCGGCACTTAGTTGTCACGAAAAGCAGGGTATACTGTTGTATATATATATATATATATATATTCTTGATCAAAATCTATAGTCAAATGTATTTATAACTTTAAGTCAATAAGAAGAAGAAATTAAAGCAGAAACTTGTGTCTGACACGCACCTTGTAGGTATCGCCCAGTCGCGCATACCCGTTAGTCATGCTCTTACTTACTTCAACTGCATTTTGCATAACAATAAATAACATTGTTATTGCTCTTAGCCAAATGTGTGTCATTGCGGTCTGTCAGACCTAGACATATAACTATACATATATCTATATATATATATCTATATATATATGTGTATCCATGTATGTAGTGTGCTTATGCAAATATATATATCTGTATATCTGTGCCAGCATATCTATATTTATGGCCAGTTTTTAAGGCCTGCTCACCTGCTGTGAGTAGGTGAAGCATTTGCCTATATATATATAATATATATAATAACTATATATAATATATATATATATATATATAGATTTGAGTTATGGTAATTGCTAGCAATTTAGTTTTATTAACAAGCATATTTTTTATGGATTCTTACTTTCGAGATGTTTCACTTTTTCTCACATTTCGAAATATAATTTATGTCTTTAGTAATTGTTTTCAGTTAGCAAGAGTTGTTTGTTGTTAAAGCTGCTTGATTAACTGAAATCCAATTAGATAAATTAATTATTATACTGCTATGCAAATAGAATATAAATGAATTGCATGCATAGATGTATGGGCTTAGTTCATGCACAATTCCAACGCGAGTTAATGTCAGTAATATTATTTAGTATACCCTGTAAACATGTCACTCATGCTACATGAAAATTAGAGCGAGATCAATTAGATTCAATTATATTCTATAACGAAAACGTGGTATCTTCAAGTCTTGTCTCTAATTTCTAATTTGATTTAAATTCATTTTTGATTTGACCCAAAATGTAAATGGCATGCGCTTGCCTATAAGGGCAGCTTATAGGGAGTGGAATTGGCTAGCTCCAAGTCCAAGTACACACTCGAAATTTATGTAAATATACAGGGTATAGCTTAGTCTCAAGTCATGTCTTTAGCTCATCAATTCCAGCAAAGGAATTGCCTATCTTAATCTACATAGATTACAGAGTATCTTCAAGTCATGCCTTCTATTACACTTATCTCAAATCTCACTCTCTCTTTCTCTCTTACCCTCCCTCTCCCTTTCTCTTTCCTGCCCATGTCTTTGATTTGCTTAGCATGATTTGAAAACTTTGAACTGCCTTTGAATCCATTTTCGGCCTCGGTTACCGAGCAGTGCTCTATATGGCCACAGCATCTTATCGTATCTCGCACACCTTTTATAGAAAGATTTCACTGCATGATCCACGCAACACAAAAGCGTGACTGAAGCCCAAAGATTCATCTGCAATGAGACTAATAAACATTTTTTTAAGCGACGCAATCTACAAATCTAATTGCATTGTGCCTGAGCTTCGCCTTTTGTTTGCTTTGCTCTGCTTTATGTTTCTTTGCTTTTTGACTACGTAATGCTCTTCTTCGGTCTATTGCAGGTCTATTGCAGTTCACATGTACCAAAGAGCGGACCCGGTCATCTCGATCAAACGTCTGTGGGCATACGTCAAGCCTTGAATGCGCCGCGCACAAACAAATTTGTGAACGAACAAATACGCGGCACACGCACCGAAGTCGATGGTGAGCGAGACGCGATATCTGACTCGCGACTATGCGTCTATATCTGATAATAAACCATTGCAGGTGGCAGCGCAGGTGGGCTGGGCTCGCGTCAATCAACGCCCAACGGCTACGGCGGCAGGGGGGAGTTGAGCTCCCCCTCTCAAAATGACTCCGACTACAAATATGGACGCTTCGATGCCAGCGCTTTGCATATAGCCCATGCGCTCAAGCAAACTGAAATACAAAAGGCCTACAACAAGGCGCGCGAGAAGCCCATCGATTTTTACCTGGTAAGACTACATATATATATAGCTATTGATATCTGTTCTAACTGCCAACTGGCCGCAAATTAAGAAATTATTTAGTGCAGAACATCTAATGAAATTTTAACTGCTCTTAACCAGCAATCATTGTTAGAGTCGTTTATAGCGGACCAACACACACACACACACACAGATACAGATACAGTGTCTTGTAAACAAACGGTTGTGCAATGCTCCCTCTCCATCTCCATCTACATCTTTTGCCATGTCCGCCTCGCTTCGATCCGCGTTGCTAGTTGAGCTTGAGCTGGCTTGGACGGAGCGGGGAAGCTATTTAATTAATGCACTCGATGGCTGACTGGCTGGCTAACTGGCCGGCTGGCCAGAGTCATGATTATGTAGGCTAGTGTGCTATTTGCACTTGTGCGCCATCAAGTTTGTTGCCCAAGTCTTTTGTTTCGAGTGGGGCACTGCGAAGCCAAAAAGCCAGCAGAATAAACTAGCGTAGCAGCTAGCTAGACGGGCAGACTAGAAAAAAACAGTTAGGGTATAGCTAGCACTTCTACAGGGTATTATAGTTTGTTGCCTAAGTCTTTCGTTTTAAGCAGCTAGCACAAACAACAGCTATTTAAACTGGCCGAGAATACAGTAATAGAGTATGGCTCAGCTAATAGGGTATAGTTTGTTGCCTAAGTCTTTCGTTTTGCGTGGCCAATAAGCAGGTTAGAAAACTTACCTGAGAGCCACATTTAGCGTGCAAATGGAGGGCATAGTTCAGTTTGAGCTGAGCTGCATACCTACAGATTTACAGGGTATAGTTTGTTGTGTGCTTAAAGCAGCGCATAAGTAGGTTGAAGATAAAGAAGCGAGGACAATACTTGACAGCATAAGGCAGAGATGAGAATTATGTGGAGTGATTTACAGGGTATATGCAACTATGATTTGGCAAATTTGCAATAATTAAAGGGTATAGGGCAGCAGATCTAAGAGTTTTATAGGGTACAGTCACACACACTCCCTCTCTCTCTGTCTGTATGACAACTGCTCACCAAAGTATGGAGCTTATCGTTGCCTTTGTTCTCTGAAAGCTATAAAATTACATCAGCTGTATATCATTTCTGTATAGTTCAAGCTTTACAGGGTATCTATGCAGCTACCATTATGTGAGCTAACTAAATGTAGCTTGGCCTTGCTTTAAGACGTGCTAATGCATGAGAATGAACTATGTCTATAACTAAACCAGCACTGTAACAGGCATGGCTATAAAAAAGTGCTAAGCTCACTTCCGTTTGCTGCTCCATATAGAAAACGCATTTTAGTTTTCAACTCTTGTTGCCAGCTCGATTACAATTTATGAGCAGCTGCTGCACTTATCGTCGGTATGCATGCATATATATCTATATCTATGGCCGATCAGCTTTAGCTTTGGCGCATGACTTGGCAAATCTGCTGCAAAAATCTGTCTGATGGTGAAAGCATTATAATCGCATTTTATGTCTAAAAAAAAAAGATTAAAAAACGAAAATAAAATCGCACAAGTTTTTATTTTTCTGTGTGTGTGTGATCTGTGTTAGTTTTGGTGGTGGCACCACAAACAGTTTTTCTTTCACTTTCGAGAATGCCACACGCGAGTGATCAACAGCAACAACAACAGCACTTACAACAACAACAACAACAGTTAGCAAGCGCATATTATTGCAACGCTCAATTTAACAAATTTCGAACAGGTGTTTGATGGCTTTGTTGTTGCCACACCGCAAAAGCCACAAATATGTGAAAAATTGCATGCATGCAATCATTAAAAATTTTGCATGTTTTACAACTGCCACGCACACATACACATACACGCACGCACACCCACCAGCTGCAACTACGAGAAAATGCGCTGCACGCTCATTTGCAGCTGGTTTAACGCACTCGTACCCAATATTTTGGCCAGCAGTGTCGCCAGCAGCATAGATTTCCATATACGGCTAACTGTGTGTGCGTCGTTATTCCGGCTGCACTAAAGCGTCAGTCAGCGTCGACAGCGCCGTCGCCGTTTGCTAAATCTAAATTATGCGCTCCAGAGTGAAAGTAACGGCAATGTCGTCGTCGTCGCTTTTGCTTCATCATTCCAGCTGACGGCAGCGCAGTTGGCAGCGTCATTCTTTGGCACTCTCTTTCAAGCTCTCCCGCACTCTCTCTCTCTCTCAGACTGTGTGCGTAACGCATTGTAATGCTCGCTCTCTTCGCCTATTGCCATCTCGCTCTGGCATTGGCGCGCCCTTATGCAATGAATGGCATGTAATGGTTATTGCTTGCAAAACACACACTTCCTCATGCTTAGCTTTAAGCTTTTTGCGCACTTTAATCAGACGCAGTCAATTTACCGTTTATGCAGGCGTGTGTGTGTGTGAGTGTGAGTGTGTTTATATTGTATTTGCTTGTATAGGTAGCTTGCGCAATAATTAGTTTCGTTACTTTTTGGACTTTCGTTTTCATTTCGATTTCGGCTGTGACTGCCGCTGCTGCTACTTGTTGTTGTTCTCATTGTTGTTGTCGTAGCCGTTACTGTTATAGCTTTTGTCACAGTGGGCGTCATAAATGTTGTTGCTCTCAATATATATTTATTTTGACGCTCACGCAATTTCAACTGTCCATTGTCAACGGGGCTATGAACCATTTAGTTGTTGTTGCTCATTACTCTTTGTTTTTGTTTGTTAAAAAGTTATTGTTTTGAACTTGACATTGAAATTTGGTTTTAATTGCATATTGTTATGACTTATATATGAACGTATGTGTGTGTGTGTGGCGCTAAATGCCTCGAAATTCCCATGCGGAAGCATTAATTAAACCGCTCCGCAACTAATTTGTTTAACAGCATATTATTTACAACCAACCAACACACACACACACATGTATTCCATACAAAATTGAGTGCAACATGCAACATGCAGCTCCACTGTAATTATGACAAAGCCAGCTAATTGAATTTTATGTTACTTAAAAAAACACCAAAAGGCGCAAATTATGGGAACACTGTCAAACAAAAGCGAAGTTTTTAATGTCTAATTTTTTAGGGGAAGGTTTTTTCTTTGCTTGAGCAGGTTTACTGTACAAAAACAAGTAAGAGAATAAAATAGATTTAGTACAGTGGAGACTCCCTGTTATGCATATCAAAGCTGGCATAGATAGCAAAGTGAATTTATTAATATTGGGTATAATAAAACATTAAACTAATTTTAATTGTTTTTTTTTTATTTATATATTTTAAAAATATATTTTTTAGATAAATATTTTTGAAACAACTATTTGTTAAATGAATATTTAAGAAGAGAAGATGTGTGCAAAAATACTTTTAGTATTTTTCTAGTATATTTTTTAACTGTGTAATATATGAATACTATATTTTTCAATGAATTATTATATGCATACGTATAATGTACATACTAAAAAAAATACCAAATATTAGTTTTTTAGAGAAGAAAATACCAAAACCAAACTAGCTTTAATTTCTTTAGTATATACATATATCGTACTTATTTAATAATTCATTGAAAATACTAAATGTTATTTTTTTCATGATGAGAATACCAAATGGAAACGAACTTTTAGTATTTTCGTAGTATTTCATTTCTGCTCAAGTTTTTCTCTATATACGATTTATATCTATATGCCATAAGTCTATATTAGCAAAGATAAGATCTGAGTGAAATGAGTAAAATGAAAATACGAAAAATTCGCATAGTTCGAAGATTCATTCAACTCATCGAGCAGGCGCACGCAATGCGTGACCACTGTAGGGGCGGGGCGCGTATTAGGTGGCTTGGCCTGCATTCAGCTTGGACTGCAGATAATGTCAGATATTTGGCAGCTGAAGCGTGGCATTATAATTAGCCAAGTTAACAAGCCAAGCATTGCGAGCTGCAACGAGATGCAACTGCTGCAACAGATACAGATGCGGCTAAATACAGTTACTTTCTCCACTTACACTCACACTCCCTCTCTCTGCTCTCTCTTTGTCCATTGGCAGGCTCGCGAGGAGCAGGCGCATCTGGAGATGAAGCATCGCAAGGAGGAGGACGATCTGTACCGGAAGTTCGCACGCAAGCGCGAGGAGGAGGATCGCAAGATACAGAACGAATTCCAGGACGAATGGGAACGCGAACTGCAACGCCTGACGCACAAGTTCGAAAAGGAGCTGGCCACCTCGCGGCGCAATCGCGATGAGGCCAACATCCTGACGCTACGCCACGAGCAGCAGAAGGAGGATCTGGAGAAGAACATGACGCTGCGTCGCAGCAAGAAGAAGGAGAGCATCACGCGCAAGATGCTGGAGCACGAGCGCTACGAAACGGCCGCCTTGGTGGATCGCCAGTCGAGCGAGATGCTGGAGCTGATTAGCGCACGTCGCTCCGAGTACATGCAAAGCGAGAGCATCTTCCTGGACGACGAGTTCAGCGAGGGCGCCGTGCCCATTGAGTATCCACTGAATGCTCCGGTGCCAGCGCCGCCAGCTGTCAGCAAATTTCAAATCTACACGGATCCCATTGAGTTCGAGGACGTGGATCGCATTGCCATTTCGGTGGCGCAGGAGGATCAGAAGACCTTCACGGATCTGGTGCGCCAGCTCGTCGGCCGCTGCACCACGGACATTGAGAAGGCGCGCACGATCTTCCGCTGGATCACGGTCAAGAACCTGAATGCCATGCACTTCGACGACGACCTCAGAGGCGACACCCCGATGGGTCTGCTGCGCGGCATCAAATACGGCACCGAGAGCTACCACGTGCTCTTCAAGCGCCTCTGCAGCTATGCTGGCCTCCACTGTGTGGTCATCAAGGGCTACTCGAAGAGCGCCGGCTATCAGCCGGGCGTCAAGTTCCAGGACTCGCGTTTTCGCAACTCCTGGAACGCCGTCTACGTGGCCGGCGCCTGGCGTTTCGTCCAGTGCAATTGGGGTGCACGTCATCTGGTCAATGCCAAGGAGGCGCCCAAGCAGGGGCGTGGCAAGAATGATAGCCTGCGGTAAGAGAGCAGCTGTTGGCCTTACACTGTGCAACAAGGGGCGAGGGGGGGGGGGGGGCTGTGATACTGAACTGATATTTACTATAGACAGCAGCTGCTTTTACACTGCGCAACAAAATTGAGGGTTTCTTTTTGCATATTGGCAGCAGTTGAAGCCAATGTCTCCAAAAAAGTCTAAAAAAAATTACACTGTTCAACAAAACTGAACTTTTTTTACTATTTCAAGAGTTTGACTAGGAGAACAGCAGAATGTTAACATTATATGCTATAGTAAGGAATTGGGGCTAAATATTTCTTTTACACTGTCTAACAAAACTCAGCAAAAATATCTTTCAGAATCGTATGTTATATTTGTTTTATTTTATTATACCTTGTTGCATAGTGTTATTCATCTCGCCCACTCTTTCGCTCTCTATTACACACACCTCTCTCTCTCTCTCTCTCCCTCTCTGTGTCCCCCGCAGCTATGAGTACGACGATCATTACTTCCTCACGGATCCGCGAGAGTTCATCTACGAGTTCTATCCGCTGCAGGAGGAGTGGCAACTGCTGAAGCGACCCATAACATTGCGCGAATTCGAGAATCTTCCGTTCGTCCGCTCGCTCTTCTTTCGCTATGGCCTGCACTTCGCCGACGAGGGCTACGGCGCCGTTGTCTTTACGGATGACACGGGCGCCGCAACCGTGCGAATCGCGATGCCCACGGACATGCAGAGCTGCTTGATCTTCCACTACAACCTGAAGTTCTATGACAGCGACGAGGAGCTCTCCTACGATGGCGTCTCGCTGAAGCGCTTCGTCATGCAGTCCGTCATTGGCAACATTGTGGCGTTCCGAGTGCATGCGCCCTGCTCGGGCGCCTTTCTCTTGGACATCTTTGCCAACGCAGTGACGCCGCAGGAGTATCTGACGGGCGAGCCCATGAAATTCAAGTCTGTCTGCAAGTTCAAGGTGAGCAGCGCGAGCCCCATGCAAGCTCTATTAGAGTCCTAATCTTCGTCCGCTTCCAGATCTGCTGCGAGGAGCTGCAGACGGTAATGGTGCCGCTGCCGGACTGCGCCAGCGGCGAATGGGGACCCACCAAGGCGACGCGTCTCTTTGGCCTAATACCCATTACCCATCAGGTGGGTAGACGAGACCACACTTATCCCTATAGTCGCTAATCGCTAATCGCTAATCTCTAATCTCGAATCTCTCTCGCCAGGATCCGCTCATCTTCGCTGGTCGCAGCCTGGATCTGCAGTTTCGCATGTCCCGTCCGCTAACCGATTTCATGGCCACGCTGCACAAGAACGGCATCGAGGAGAAGAAGCTGGCCAAGTATGTGACGCACAGCACGCTGGATGACATCGTCACCTTCATTATTAAGTAAGGTTACCTCGCAGTCCGCCTTGAGCTGTGCCCTTACCTGTGACTCACTTTCATTGCAGCTTTCCCGAGGAGGGTCAGTATGGTCTGGACATCTACACACGCGAGCTGGGCGCACCGCAGCATCATTACAACAACAACAACAATAGCAGCAACAACAATAACAACTCCTCATCAGGCGAGAAGCATCTGCTCACGCACTGCTGTAAATATTTGATAAACTCCTCCAAAAGGAATTGAAACGACAAATGCAATATTAAATCATAGTCTAAACATTAAGCATTAACTAAACTGAACAACTTGATATAAGATATATCAAAATAGTTACGAGGGTAGACTGAACAGCTTGTGGAGCGAGTGAGGACATGAAGTTAGTAAGCTAGATTTTGTTAGCTCACAAACTGCTTAGACTACCCTCGTGCTAGGCACGTATATATACGTCTCTTTTGCACCACTGTGCAGGTGCTATAATAAAACCAATCATCCACATGCTATATATATATATATATATCTTGTATATCCCGCTCAACAATTGTTAATCCACACTTGGCTTCATCGTTTAGATATATTTCATATATATATATATATATCGTAACAAATTGAATCGAATTGAAAACATGTAAATACTCTAGACTCTAATCATTAGACCTTAAATTATATAGTAATATCTGAACAATCGCCGTTTTTTGTACTTAATTTACCTTAATTAAAGCCTAATAATTTATTATGAATTGTCTTTAATACAACCACGTATACATATATATATGCATATATCTTCAGTTATATATAGTAATATTTCTTTATATAATATATATCTACATAAATATATCAACAATCAATTGTAATTAAACACTCTCTGATCATGTGCAGCAATATATTATAAACCTATGTTTTTTTGGCATACTAAATGAAAAAAAAAAGATTTTTATTTGAGTTGAGCATTTTACAGTGAAGTCTCGCTAAGGTACAAGTTGTATAGGCCTTTAAAATATACTCAAATATTTCTTTTATTAAATTTATTTAAGTGCAACTGTAGGTGCAATGCAACCTTTTACTGGGTATTCACTGTAGTAAACTTGACTGTTGAGTATTTACTGTACTCCCACTGCAAGTCTAAGCTTCTATTAGGCTACCGTCGCAACTCTCTCAAGCCAACTTCCTTTGCTGTAAAATATAGTTCACTTTCTAGTTCTTGTTAAAGAGTGTTTACTGTAGGCTTACGCTATGCTTTTACCAATCTATAAAACAATTTTTAACTTAAATTTGTAGAGCAATATAAAAGTGCATATTTTGGTTTAAGTTCATCTTATTAGGTGCTTACTGTACAGGCAGTTGTCTAAGTTTATTTAGCCAAAGTAATTTTTAAATATTCTGGCTTCTTCACTTGCTCAACTTTAGCTGCTGCTAAGCATACAAGAAAAGGCTTCCTTCAATGTTCATAAGTTGCTTTTACTGCTTATTCACTGTACTCCATAGCCCATGACCTTAGTTAGCCAGCCAGCAGCAAATGTTGAAGGTTTTCTTAAGCTTTATTCAACTATCTTATATATACGCCAAGTCAGTTGATCTATGATCTTGTTACTGAGTGTTCACTGTGGCAGTGCCTTGACTGAGACTGTAACTGGTTTTATGATGGCGAGCTCTTCAAATTTCCATTACTCAACTAATTTTGAGATGCTCATACCTTTTCTGTATACTGAGCGTTTACTGTAGTAAGCCAGCAGCAAAGTTTGCCTAAAGAAAATTCCATTTCTGTAATATTAGAGGAGCTCCTTCAATTTCCAGTATTTCTCCTTGAGTGTTCACTGTGGCAGAGCTTTATCTTTACGCTACAGAATTTCCATTTTCCCAAAGTAAAAGAAAATCATTTTTCTCAATCAAAGAAAAACAAAGAACATTTAATGAACAGTTTAAAAACATTTAACTCGTGGTCACAAAGGGGAGTTACTCCAAGACTGATGCTGCCCAACGAGTTGATATGACTGGCTGACCTGACCCACAACAAGCCGCTCATGTTGACTTTCTGCAAGAGTTGATCAAGAACCAAATGAAAAAATTGTTAAAAACTGTAGAATGAATACCAAAAGCATTTATTAACTGTAAAAATGGAAGAAGTTAAAAATCGACTTGGCTCCATGGAGCAAATAACAATAATTGGGCCGGGAAGATTGTTGAGACAATACTAAGTCTAAGGATCGCCTGCATCGTCGTCGGAGGCGACGAGATCGATGCAGAGCGGAGATTCATCTGCGATTTCGACCGGATCCTGCTTGAGGACAGGCATCAAAATCGGCTCTTCTTCCACGACAGTTTCAGCTGGTTTCGCTTTCGGACTCTCGTAGTCACGTTTAGCTGATGCTTTCTTGTATCGGGGCGGGGACTTATCCCCGAATTTCTTTCTCAGTCCGTGCACCGGAACTTTGCCGTAACGATAATAGATGAAATAATCGTTGGCCGCTATATCCGTAGCGCTCTCCGGATCGATGCTGAGGACGAGCAGGGCGCCACCCGACTGATCCTTGCGCGAGATCAGCTTCCACAGGTGTGTCTTATACTGATTCTGTGACTTGAGCAACGCAAAAATGAATTCATCGGTTTTACCCGCGGTCTGCGACAGAAAGACCGTAACATAAAAGCGCTTCGGCTTCAGCGAGTTCACAGCGCCTAGTTTCGGGATCACGGGGTGTCCGCGATAGGAATAGAGGTGTGCACCTCTACTCATTAGCCACTCCGCCGATATACGGTCAGAGCAGGTCACCTTAAGGTAGCCGCCCTTAAAGCGAATGTGCGTGAAACGCAACGGAGCTGACGAACTAAAGCCAGCTGTGACAACCTCCTGGAGTATGGCCTCCTCCAGATCCTTTTTGTCCTTCTGGCTGAGCTTAGCCTGTGGATAACCAACGGGCAGCAGACAGATCTGCAAGTCGCGCTCTTGAACGTTATCTGTGGAAGCAATGTGCTCCATAGTATTATCAGATTCATCTGCTAAGTCTTCTTCCGAAGGCTTCTCCCATTTGCTTGACTGCTCCGTGGCAGGCAAATCGGGAGCTGATTCGTAGTTAGCTGCCGGCTGTTTTGGCTCCTTGGCCATACGAAAGGCTTCTTCGGGCTGAAATCCTCTTTGCAGATATCGCATATACCACTTGGTGCGCGAACCACTCAGGTTTCTCTTATTCGGATCGTCTCGAGCGCCGGGCTGTCCGAGAGGTGGCAGATTCATCTCCCACTTTTTACGAGGTCTCTTCGCATCGTTGCCGTTGCCATCGCCATTTCTATTTCTTGTCAGTTCTGGCCTGTAGTCAATGCTATGCCTTTGACCCGAGCTATGCCTAGGTCCAGGGTTTATTGCAGCTTGCCTATATGGCGACGCTTCCCGATCCCCAGAACGCCTTGGACTATGTTCCCCTGAATATGTTGGCGAGAATTGACGCATGCCGCATATGGAGCTGCGACTGCGGCGTCCTCCTTCATTCAACTCCATGTTTTCCGGACTGTGACTACGCTGTCTGCGATAGGTGCTCGGAAAGAGATTCATCTGAAAGCCTTCTCGCGCTGGATCCCTCATTGATTGCTGATAGCCTGGTCCCAGCGCTGAATCCCGCATTGTTTGCTGAAAGCCTAGCTCTCGGTTCGGTAGATGAAAGTCTGATCCCCGCTCCAGACCACGCTGATATCCCAAATCCCTTTCCGGACTCCGATTCAGTGGAAAGCCTGCTCCACGCGCCGGACTAGAAAAGGATTGTCGATAGCCCTCTGCCGGTTCCCTTTCAAGTAGATTGCGCTGTGCCTGCTGATAGCCTGATCCTGGTCCTCTCTCTGGACTGCGATTGAACTGAGGTCTGTCCGGGCTACGATTGAAGCGTCTCAGATTGTTTTGTGGCCCGCCTATTGGACCACGATTGAATTGCTCCTGCCGGAACTGTGGTTCCCTAGTCGGCTCGATGGCAAGCCTTTGGTTGCCTCGATCCTCATAGAACATGCCAAATTGTTGCTGTGGCTGCGGCTGCAGCTGTGGCAATTGTTGCTGCCACTGTGGCATGTTCTGCATATTCCTTGCGAAATTGTAGCCCGCATTAAAGCGTTGCGGCATTTGGATTTGGTTTTGATTTTGATTTCGATTGTGATTGAAATTGAAGTTTTTATTCATTTTTTTTGATTCCCACGAGCTGCGGAGATAAATAAACGTCCGCCCGGGCAGAGATCCGCGTTACCCGGGTAAGGCTCCCTTTCGAACAGGCGTTGGCCAAGCGCCTGAGCTCGCCGTTCGCGACTGAAATATTTGTTAACCCGGGCCTTCAGCCTGGCCGACTATCGGCACGGTACGAATGACACCTTAGTCCGACCCGGAGGTGTGTGTGTGTGTCTGTTTGTGTGTGTGTGTGGGGCTATGCTTTGACAGGCGGCCCCACAAGCGCCTGGTCAATAGGGCGACCGGTAAGACAGCCGCCTTATCCGCTGGCTGTCCGGGGCTGCTTATTGGGCAGCGAGACGCTCGCTGCCTATTCGCAGCTAACCTGCCGCGTGGCAGGCCGTTCGCTATCCGCAACCTGCGACCCGTCCGGTGGCCTCCAGCTAGGCCATCCTGGCGCAAGTTCCAAGAACTCTCTCGCCAGGCCGGAAAAATTCAATTTGAAATTCTTTCCTTCCTTTTTTATTTTATACTTTATTTGTTCATGCTTCTTAATCATATAAATATATGTATGTATATGTATATAGAGAATTTTTTGAGGGCTGAGGGGGGGACACATTTCTTTATATATATGTAGCGGGGCAGGGCGGGGCGGGGCGTAGTTTTCATTTGTAGAAATTACTTAAACTTAGCAAAGAAATATTATAGTATTACTCTCTAGATATTGGGGACAATCCATAATCAGTTGCATTTTTATTTTTAGTAAGTTTTTGTTTTGTTTTGTTTTGTTTTGTTTTTAAAGTTAAATGTGAATGCAGCTTTTGCGCTTCCTCTGCTACTTCGCTGCTGTTGTTGTTGTTGTTGTTGTTGTTGTTGCAGTCCACTTAAATGTTTCGCCTTCCATTCTCATGCACGCTGCAAAGTGAAAGATGAGTGGAAAGAGAAAGGGAGAGAGAAGCAGAGTTGCAATGACAAACATTAATAAATTTTTCGTTTGTAATCGATTTTGATATTTTTTTGAAGCGGAAATGTTGGAGGAATTTTCTTAATCTAAATTTGTAATGCAGGTGTACAGTGAAAACTCGATTGAGGTACAGCTAATTTGTAAGTTATTCAGCTGACTGTGATCAATGATGCTTAACCAGAGAATGCCCTGAATATTGATGCTATTTCTAAGAATTCTAATATTTAAGCAATGCTTTATAATGCTGAATCTAATGTGCTTTATATATATAGACTTTATATCAGCATACATATCAAATTTTGTGTAGCTAGCACTTGAAGTTTCCGAGTTATATTGAAATAAATCTAGCTTAGGTATGCTAAAAAGCACATTCTCTACAAGTAAGACTCTTGTGTTGCCTCTTATACTCTCATAGTTCTCGAGTTAAAACATAAGTTCTTAACTTTAAAAATCCATTATTATATTATGTAAATGATATTGTTAAAGCAATGATAAGCTTATTCTACTCTTCTAGCATTTAAGAGCTCTTTTACAACAAATTTTCAGCCTGCTCT